TTATGCTTTATTTGTATTTGTACGCACTTCCTGGGTGTAAAAAAGAGGGGGTCCTCTTGCCACTTTGTAGAAGTGGGTGCCACACGGCGTATGCGTCATACGCCTACGGGCTTCTGATTTCAAAGGAGTAGCAGATCCTATGACTTCTGTGACCAGCTTCCATACCTCATTGTTATGCTAATGGCTTACGATATATGAATAATAAGCCCGACCCAGTGGCCAGGCGCGGCCACTGACCACACGGACACTCCGTCGCAGACTCAGATTTCGGCTGCTGTGTATCCTGTGGGCCCGGGATCCGGGGAGATTGTCCTTTGACGACGGCAATGACGACGACAGTTGTCGCTTCAGTTATGCAAATGCCGAGCAGCAGGAAGCTCCAGGACACGGGGGAAGTGCTCGAATATTTGATATCTTTATGTCTTTTTTCGACATCCCGACATACACAAATTGTTTTCCTCTGTTCCTCTGGACCATCCCCCCTCCCTGCTTGAATGTGGCAAATTCAGTTTTCATACGACTGGAATGAATATTTTTGATTGCCCCTTAAGCCCCGTATATCTCCACTCCCTTTCTCGGCCGGACTGGGTGCAAAAACCCAAAGGAAGTTTTAAGTTTTGTTGTCGTTTCGGCATTACCGGAAGCTCTTAAAGGTTGCCGGGCAACAGCACGTGCATTCCCCGCCCAAGAACCTGCCAAAGGCTACGAGATTCCGGCTATGTGGAGTGAGGAATGAAGGATTTATGGAGAGCCAAGCCAAAGACGCAAAAAGAGGCTCCAGAAATGAGGAATCGTAAAATGCGAAATTTTATGTCCATACCTGCTTAACTGTTGCTCACCTGCATTTGCTGGCTGCCATAAATCCTGGCTCGTGCTTTTTAATGTTCGTCCTTTGTGTTGTTTTGTAGCTCATTTGCCATTAATCTGGCCAAACTAAAAGTGAGATAACCTGACCCAGATGGACTAGCTGGAGAGTTTTTCTTCATTTATAAACAGTGCTGCGTGGGCATAGGAAAGTGAATAAATAAAAGTAGAATATGACCCTTTATTCTCATACTTGTGTACTGAAAATATGCTAAAAAATATGAAAATGGGGAAAAAATATTTATTTGAAAAGCCATTTTAATTAAATAATTAATTTTAACATAGAAGTACTCTATAAAGACCTTTTTATATAAAATCAGATATGTCACAAAAGTATGTTTTTCCTTGAATGAAAACTTTTAATACAATTTAAACTATTATTTTTTTTCCTACTATATATAATTATTTATACATTAATTGAACCCTTTCAGCTAATTTTTTCTGTCCATTTTTGGTGTTTGAGTTGATTTACTCTGGTTTTTCAGTTTTGGCCAGGAGCTCTGTTGAATGTTTCGTTGCTGTTGTTTTGGGCTTTCTTTTATTTGGCCCCGGCACGTTTTATTTGTTTAAAGAACTATTAAAATGGCATAAACAGGAAACCGAATGGAGATGGCAATCGCACTGGGCCAACTGGACTGGACTGGCTGGCTGGCTGGCTAACTGGCAGTGCCAAAGTTTTATCTCGCCCACAACGGCTGGAGGGGCGAGGTAGGGGTTGGGGCTGGGGCAGGGGCAGGTACTGGGGCACGGACTGTGGAGGAGTGGCAGCTGCTGTTGCTTTTGCCTTTTGAGCGCATTGTTGTTGGCCGTATTTGATTATCGCATTTCATTTTGTGTCGGGTGAATGTAGAAAGTTGAATGCAAATTTGCATGACACCAACAGAAGCGTCCAGTGGTTGGCTGGGGAGTGGTGGGCGGTGGGTTGGTGGGGGAGCGAATACGGCAACAATCACACCAACCATCATCATCATAATAATAACAAAGCAGCCAGAGGAGGCAACTGGCAAAGGCAAAAGAAACAACGGGAGGGAGAACTTTATTTGAAGCCGCCCCCATCCTGCGGATTCTGTTTTCTTTTTATTTCAGAGAGAAAAAAATAGGGAGGGGTTGGGAGGTGAACGGGCTGAGCGAACTGGCTGTCAAAGTTTTTAGGTATCATTTCAGTTTATTTGAATTATTCATAATCCGGACAGCAGCATCAGCAACGTAGAAGGTCCAGCCAGCGCTCCAGTCAGCCAGCCAGCATAAGAAACAAACAGCAAGTCAGACAATTCCGGGCCAGTAAGGAGGCCAGCAAAAAGCTGGCCAAGATAACGGAAGCACCAAATAAAAATCATTCATTGTAAATATTTCCACAATACGAAATGCAAAGTTTTGGGCCAAACAAAGGGAAATGTATCCACAAACAGCCGCAAATTCGATTCAATCAACAGCGAAATGTGGAAAGCCCTTTTTGTTAACAAAAAATCCCTCTCACAAACTGAGATTTAAGTGAAACATTAAATATTTAACTTTTTTCTGAGAACCTAAATGTTACCCAATTTGGGAACAATACTTGTTGAACTCTGTGAGGGATTCCAGGATTTTTTTCCAACAAAGAAACCCTTTTTTCCAAACTAACATGGTACGTCCATGGAACACGCAAATGCCTAATAGTCAAAGTTTACTTTTGCGCTCTTAGTTTGTTCTTACTTGCCACAAGAGTTTCGACTTACTTTCTATAGCAATCGAACTCTTGTTCGACTCATAGTAAAATGTGCAATAAATTGAGCACTTCCCGGGGCGGAATGGAGCCGGTTGGGGGACTTGGAGTACGAGGTGGCCTCCAATCGCCTCACGACAGTTTTACGACAGTCACGCGATATATTTCGCTCGATATAAATAGAAAGAACTCGTGCCCGGAATGTTTGTAAAAATTGAATGTTGGTTAGAAAAGCAACGCAGTCAATCACTCAAACCCACTGACAAGATAAACACCGCGTGCACCGTGCAAAATTACTTTTTGGTTTTAATAACACAATTGTAGGGGGTGGACCATTATTTATGGTTTAAACTGTACAATTTTCCTTTGTTATACCAGCAGGTATCTATTTTAATATGGCAAGGACTATGGAAGTTCAAGGTAAAGTTGAATCCATTATTTTCTAGCTTTTAATTGGGATTGGGTGAAAAACAACCTACAATTCGTTTAAGGTATTTAATTGAGAATCGGATCATTATTGGCAAAGATATACCCTTCTCTAGTGGCCATATTGCAATATACCATGCATTTCCCTCATTTTTGAAGGGGACACCCAGAAAATTTGACGAAAAATCTGAAATATTATATGTTCGTAGCTTTTGATGCAGATTGGTGGAGAATCGATCCCCGAATCGTTTAAGGTATTCCTCTTGAGAATCGGATCATTATTGGCAAAGATACACACTTCGCTAGTGGCCATACAGCCCCTCCATGCATTCTCCGCATTTTTGAAAGGGGGCACCCAGAAAATTTGACGGAAAATCTGAAAAACTGTATGTTCTTAGATTTGGACGCAGATTGGTGGAGAATCGATCCCCGAATCGTTTAAGGTATTCCTCTTGAGAATCGGATCATTATTGGCAAAGATACACACTTCGCTAGTGGCCATACAGCCCCCTCCATGCATTCTCCCCATTTTTGAAGGGGACACCCAGAAAATTTGACGAAAAATCTGAAAAATTATATGTTCCTAGCTTTTGACGCAGATTGGTGGAGAATCGATCCCCGAATCGTTTAAGGTATTCCGCTCCAGAATCGGATCATTTTTGGTATATTTTAAGCTCTCGTTGGGGACTATATTGTTAGCAAATATTTCTCTCTCTGTAGCTTAGAAGTCGGTGGGGTGGGGGAGGGGCAAGAAATTAGCGCAAACTAAGTCAAGACTGCCGCAAGAAAAGTTAGTTCCGAAGCCTAATAAGCGCCACCACCCACCGACAATTTTCGCTCCAACCCGTCATCATCCGCCCCGTTGGCCGACGATTTGGCAACGTTTTCACTTTCAGGTTTTCACATTTGCGTGCAGCTGCTGACGGCGCTGTCGGTGGCTCTGCTGCCGCTGCTGCTGTTGGCGTCGCATTGCGAATTCCTGGTGGCAGAGGGTAAAGTTTTAGCATACTTTTCGGCGGCGGCGACAGTATTTTTCGTGCACTTGACATGTTTTGACACGCTTCACGCTCGACTCGTCGCCGCTTTGGCAAATGGAGAGGCCTGCAGGACGGGCAGGACTTGCAGGACGAAAATGTTTGCCTCGCCGCTGGAGTTCGATATTGTTTTGCGCGCCAAAAATGCCAACGATAATCTGGTGAGCACGCCAATATCCACCACACCTGCGTTTGGAAAGCCACCACAAACACGTTGCCCAGGACAACGGCTTCCAACCCTTTTTGAAGGGAAGGACGAAAGGTCCTTAGACACTTGCACTTTCCAGGCGACGCTTTCTGTTTGTTTACCTTTTCTGTTGCCGCGTTGTTGCTTTAGTTACAACAAATTAGCGTTAGTTACTGACCGGCAGCGGTTCGCAGCAGGACTCCCAGCACCGATAGCGGGCATTATCCTTTTTCGGCTTTCAATATCCAATCCCACTAGACTCGGGTAATATTTTCTGCATGATTAACGCGTGAATATGTTAAGTAATTAATTGCCCGGCCGGCGTGCTTTGCATTTTTTCACATTTAATGCTTGGCCAGAGCCAGAGGTATAATTCGTTTGGGAAAATAATTGCTTTCGTCGGCCAATATGTGTGTTTGGATGTATATTTGTGTATAGGCCAACTGACAACCAACACAACAACCACCAGAAACCGTACCGGTTAAACAAACAACAATATATTCCACCAAAAATATTTGTTGGCAATTAAAGCCTCGTCCTGTGGAAGCTACGCGATCTATCAATCGGCATCCTGTGGCTAAGGGGAGGAGGGAGGCGGCTCTCCAGTTGAGCCAATATGCAAATGGCGTTTTAATTAGTTTATTAATCGGCGGTGACCGTCTCGCCCCAGGTGATTGTCACCTGCTTCGGATCAGCAGGTGCATTTTGCTCTCCAATCATTTACCGCCTGGCAAATAATTAATTTCTGAACCGATTTAAAACACCCATCATGTCCTTTTTTTTCCAGCCCCAACTGCTGCGGCAACGGGACCGCAGCCATCGCAACGCGCTGCACTATTGTGCCGCGCAGGACGTGGAGCAGAGCAGAGACCTCGTGGCGGCCGCCAGCATTGCCATAGCAGCTCCCGAGCTGCTCGAGTCCGCCGACGAGGATGGCTTCACGCCACTCCACCTGGCCGTTATCCAGGGCAACCTGGCCATGGTCAACCTGCTCCTGGCCAACAAGGCGGACGTGAATGCGGTGGACAATGAGGGGCACTCGGTGGTGCACTGGGCAACGGGTGAGTGTCAAGGATAGACAATGCATGCAATCCTATAACCCCCTTTGTTTTCAGTTTGTGGTGAGGTGGAGTCCTTGCGTGCCGTCCTGGCAGCAGGAGCCAGTGTAGCCAAGCCGGATGCTAATGGCGGCACTCCCCTACACTATGCCGCTCAAATGTGTGGCGCCACTCATGACAGCAAGCAGCAGGCTTCTTCCACTGCCAGCACCAAGTTGTCCCTGGAGATCCTGGGCATCTTGCTGGCCCATCCACAAAGCAGCGTGGATGTTCAGGACAAAGACGGACGCCAGCCCCTACTCTGGGCAGCTTCAGCCGGTTCTGCAAAGGCTGTGATAGCCTTAGTCAAAGCTGGAGCCCGTGTGGAGTCTTCTGACAAGTAAGTAGACCTATTCTACTCAATACATTCTAAGGATCTATTGTTTAAAATCCAACCCACAGGGACGGTCTTACTGCCTTGCATTGTGCTGGTTCCCGGGGCCACACCGAGTGCATCGATACCCTTATTGGTTTGTGCGGCGCCCCAACGGATCTCATCGACTCCAATGGGTGTACAGCTCTCCATTATGCCGTAACCCTGGGCCATGCCGATGCCACGGCCAGATTATTGGACTTGGAAGCGGATCCCAACCGACAGGATCGAAAGGGTCGCACTCCCGCTCACTGCGGCTGCTCCAAGGGACAGTTCGAAACCCTAAAGCTGCTGAAAGAGAGCGGCGCCAATCTGTGGCTGAGGAATGCCAAGGGGGATTTGCCGCTCCATGAAGCGGCCGCCTCGGGGCGACGGGAGCTGGTGGAGTGGCTGCTGAGCCAACGGCCCAAACAGGTCAATACCACCAGCAATGACGGACGCAGCCTGTTGCACATTGCGGCGGCAAATGATTACACGGATATGTGCAAGCTGCTGCTGGATTACGGCGCTGATGTCAACGCCGTGTATCGCAATTCCCGAGGGATAGTTTTGACGCCCCTGGACGGAGCTCTGCAGCGTGGCCACCGGTCTACCGCGAAGTTCCTGCAGGCCAACGGCGGCCAGCCTTCCAATAAAGTCCGGCTGAGCAGCCGGAGAACGGGGAATCCTTTCCACGAGACAAACGCCGCGGACTTGGTGAGACCTTTGAAGTATGTGGAGAAGGAAGAGCTCCACGATCTGCGCAGCTCCAAGAAGTATGTCGTGTATCTCAAGCGTTCCGATTCGGACAATGGCAATGCCAATGGGGATCCGGAGGCGGACTGCAGTTGCTCGGAGCAGACCTACCGCAAGGAACAGCGTCTGCGGCATGTCTGCCGGCGGCACAAGCGTCGCCAGTTGAGGAGGCGCACCAGCAGCTGTGGGGAGTCCAAGCACGAGCGGTGCAGTGAGATTTGTCGTTCCAAGAGTAACATAGAGATTCGGAGGCGCAAGTCCAGGGAGAGATATGCCAGCTCCACCGAGTGGGAGGAGGAGGAGGACGACGCGGACGAGGACTCGTGCGAAAACTGTTGCTATCACAAGAGGCAAAAGGAGCGGGTGGTTTCCCGGAAGCGCTCCACTTCTTCCAGAAAGTCAAAAGACCGTCCGGATAGTGATGTCGAGGACGAGAAGAGGAATCACACCGCCCACTCCTCCCCAGAAAAGGAGGCAAGGAAACCCTTAACCGCCAATGGGGATTTGGCGAATCAGTCTAATGTGAAGGAACGACCTCAATCCGCCAGTAGGCCGCCCACCAAGGAGGGAACTTTTATTAAATCGCCTCCAGAGAGTGGCAAGGTGGAAAATTCCAGCGTCGTTGAAACCCTCCAAGTAGAGGAATCGCATGCCGTAGAGCTTACTGATGAAGAGCCGGAGGCAACGGCTCAGTCCGTGGTCACACAGGTTGATGTCCACCACGATGCGGAGGCCAACACATCAAAATCCTCACAAGAACTAGGCTCTGTGGATGAGAAGGCGTCCGAGAACGAGAAGGAGCAGGTCAGTGAGACGCAACAGGATCAGGAAGCCAAGCTGCAGCTGAGCGAGGAGGAGACCCAGCAGGTATCCAAGGAAGTGGAGCAAATGATAAAAATAGCAGCCACCGCCTTGAGCAGCGAATCCAAGAGTTCAGTGGAGGAGCCATCAGCGGAGCAGTCGAATCCAGAAGTAAACGAAGCTCCGGCAAAAACACCAGAAGTGCCTAAAAAAGATGTTAAGGAATCCAGTGAACCCAAAACCCCAGAGGCTGCCCCAGTCGTACCTGCTGCCAAGCCACCAACGGCCCCCGAGGAGGAGGCTGCCAAGCCACAGGCAGCCGCAGAGAAGCCACAGCCGAATAAGTCCACTGCCGGCGGAGGGTTAGAGACGGAGCCTTCAAAACCAGCCTCGGCTGGCAAAAAACGCGAACAGATGGAGCAGGCGAATTCCAAGCCCACTACAAGCACTACCCCCACCCCGACCTCTAACCCTCCCCCATCTACAGCTCCTCCTAACCCAGCTCCTTCGCCCGCCGCAGAGCCTAAAAAACCGCCAACCGCACCCCAGCCACGCCCTCCTCCCCCGCCCAGCCAAGAGCAGCCGCAACGGGAGCAGGAATCCAGGCGCTCCTTCACACTTCTGCCCTCCGATTCGGCGGACGATGACCCAGTTGCACAGCCAAGTCCAGGAGCAGGCGCCTCCAATGATCCGGCCACTGAGCGAAAATCGAGCTTCCAAGTGCTGAAGAGCGACGACTCTCTGGGCGAGTTGGATGCGGATGCTTCCAAGCGCCAGCCGGGTCGGAACACAAATAAAGTCTTTCAGGTGGTGAGCGAGGGAAACGCCCCCAGCCAGCTGCCCAGTGCCTCGGAGCTGGAGAAGATGGACTACGAGTACGAGGAGTTCGACGACGATGAGTACGACGAGGACGACGCAGATGGCATTGATCCGGAGCACGACAGCGCCTTGCGTCGTTTCCTTAGTAGCGGCAATCGACATGGAGTGGGCAACCCGGGAGCTGGAGGTGTAGGAGCCGCAGCTGGAGATGGAGACACTTCCGAGGGCCTAGCTAATGGCCGGAAACGTCGCCTCAAGAAACGAGTGCGTAGCGGCAACAAGACGCGCAGCAATTGGAAAAATGCCCAAGAGACCCGCGACGGCCCAGGAGCCCTGGCCACCAGCAAGGATCAGGATTCGGGCTTCGAACCCAGTCCGCGGGCTGAGCGTAGCAAGATTCCCACACTGCGATCCGCCCACACAGCCATGCCACGGCGACCCATCTACGCCACACTGGACGGGCGTTCGTGCAGCAGTCGGCTGGAAAACCGCAAGCCCGGCGACAAGGGAGCCTGTGACATGGGCGCCGTGACGCGTTCCATTCAGCGAAATATTCGGAGGTAAGTAAGGACTTTAAAAGCCATTATATTTCATAGAGAATTTCGTAGAGTTCCTAAGTTTTTTTCCTGTGTAAAATTCCAGAAAAGGAACAGATTGGAGTTCGAACCCGTGAGAGTTGACGGAGAGATTCATTCATTTAAATTAATCTCCAGGCAGTTAGTGGCGCCGGCCAGCGACGTCTTTTTCGCCGTAGATTTATTTACTTGATGCTTGATTTTAATCAACTTGAATGTCCTGCCATCCAGGATCGCATTATATCACGCGCGTACTTCAGTAGCGTCGGTGGCAGTAGCAGTGTCAGCGACAGTGGCCGTGGCAGTGGCAGCCTCTTAATGTAATCAAACCACCCGAAGCCTCCAGACTCGCCTTAAAGTTAATTTAGTCAGGGATTTAATAGCCTGGGCCACATTTCTCATTTCTTTTCTGGCGTAGGCCAGGATTTCGTTCGGTTTGGTTCGGGTGGGGAGGGCCAGGAAGGCTGGAGGCTCCATTGTTGCTTGGGTCGGCAAATAAATTGCCCGGCTTCCGTTCGCCATAAAAAAAAGGCACGCTTTAAAGTTATTATAATGCGGTTAAAGGCAATAAACGCGGCATTAATGTTCATTTTCCATGTACTTGAGCATGAACTATGATAAGCTGTCCGTTGACCTTAAGCCTTGGGGGTTTACCTGCGATTATTCTCACATAGCCGGGTGTCGCAGAGGTGCTTCTGACATATTTATTGGTTCCGCCGTGTTCGAGACGAGTGCTTAATTCAATTCGTCTCGTCCGCCTCGTAATTACCACAAAAGTGAATGCGACTCAACTGAGAACCATGTCATTAACGGCGCGAGGTGAATCGTAAATCATAATTAGGTCAAGACCAAGTCCCCATCGTACGCCACTTCCCTAATATCCTGGCTGATTTATTTCAGTGCCCGCGAATGCTCCAAATCTAGTCGTTCGCTGTCATTAGCCGAAATGCTCATTTCCGGCAAAGAGTTGCGCATTTTAATTAGCTGCACAGAATCAGAGCCAGAGCGAGTCCCCAAGGACTTGGCATGGAGAATGCCCACCTGCGGTGCTGTGCGATGTTTTGTTTATGCAGAAACTTGAACAAAAATATGAAAATTAGCCGCAAGCAGTAACTGAAGCAGTAGCAGTAGCAGTTTTGGGGCTAAAGTCTCTGGCTCCGTTTACAACTCGCTAATGCTAATTGTAAATGGAATTAGTGCAGATTAGCGGCAACATTTTTAGAGTCGGGGCAATTACCATTTGTGTTTGCTCTTCGTTTGCGAGCTTGTTGCGGAAATGCTTTTGTGCTTCAAGGACATGAAGTGGAATTTACATAAAGTAGCAACACTATAGCAATACATCCTAGAAATGAGCGTGTGCTCCTAATGTAATTATGTCCTTTGGCGAATCGATTCCGGTTGCTGCTTAGCTCCTCAACTTAAAAGTCAATTGTATTTATTTATGGTATTTGCATAAGCCCTGCCGCAAAACTTAATTAAAAAGCATAAGCTGACTTTTATTAATTTTGCTAATCTGGCTTGTAGCCCGTGAATAAATTTGCAAACATTCCACCGAGAAAGAAAAACAAAACAAAACAATAACCAAACGAAACAGAACGAAACTGGAGCAAAAGTAAAATCCGGCCGGCGAGCGCATTTCATAAATAATTCTTTCCACTTGACTAATGAAAATATTTAACTCTGCTGTTTGCATAAGCTTGAGAAGGGCAGGACCAGAGATCCAGCATCCAGTATCTGGTAACCAGTAACCAGTAACCAGTACCCAGTATCCAAGAGTCCATGTTAAGGTTTCGACAAATACGCGGCGTATACGCAATTTACGCAAAACCGAAAGTCAAACAAGTGTCTTGCTGGGAAACTTTTCGAGAACAAGTTCCTCAACAAGTCGGCCGGGGTGAGTCAATTAATTCCCGAAGAATATACGGTGTAAATCGGTGGGTGGACGGTGGGTGGTTGTGTGTGAGTTGTGTGGGTGGTGCAAAAAAAAAAAGAATAAAATTCAAATAGAATTTACTCAAGGGCCGATGCGATGCTCTGGAATGAAGTAAAACGTAAAAAGTAGAAAGTAAGATGGAAAAAGTAAAAAGTGAATCCATAGCTCCCAGTCGAATACTCTAGGGTGGTTGTGGGTGGCTGTGCCCCCATACACACACCCCATGAAAAGTGTGTAAATAGAGACTTTATTTTATTTTGGATTTTTCATTTTATTTTTGCATTCGCATGCCCGAGCAACTTTATTCTGTTTCCTCGTTTCGGCTCCGAAGAGATTAAAATTTTATCTGACGCATAAATTAAACAAATAACTTACCAGCATTGCGTGTGTCTGTCGTAGCTGGTGTTGGTGTTGGTGTCCTTGTTTTTGGGTTTTTTGTTGTGCCGAGTTTTGTGTCCCAGCAGCACAGGTGAGATTTGGGATTTATAATGTGCGCTCACGTAATTGACATTGTTAAATATTTGGATTTTGTTTCGTTCTCGGCCCCCGAACGGAGTTTATCTGTTGTCCTTGCGGATAATTTTTGTATGGCACCTGAAGCGTGATGGCATTAGGTTTGGTTTTTGAATTATATTCCCACACTATCGAGAAATGATTTGAACTTCTGCAGATTAGTTTCATTTAAGCTGCCAGCTGTCTTAATTTGCAGTTTTCGGATTCTCTGACGGCAGTTGATAAAACGCTCAGACCTTCCACTCTCAGTTATTCCACAACTCGCAGCCACTTGGCCAAGTTTGAAGTACCGAGCTCAAAAATATAGCCGTAATGAAAAATGAAGCGAAAAAGTTTTCGGAAAGTCCCGCGAAGCCGACAGAGTTGTCGGTTTAACTACAAAAGCAGCCGCAGACTTTTCTCGAGTTCTTTCGCCGCGAAAGACTGACTTTGTCGCCACTTTTGGCGGCCATCGATTTTCGGGGCTCGGCTCTCCAGATGGTGACAGTGTTGTTCCTACACCTGTCCTACACCGGTATGCAGGCCACATCCTTTAAGGATAACCAGGCACACACCGGTCTGTGCCGTTTCTGGTTCTGGTCCAACCGCTAACACTTGGCAAAGGTTCTGCCTCGCTTTGTTGCTTGTGCGGCGCGCAAATTGCTGGCGGGCGGGGATTTTTTGTTGCAACTTGTGCAGCGCTTAATTTCTTTGCATTTTGTTGTCGTTGTCAGCGCTTCAGAGAAAGTGAAATGGCAGACAGTGAGAGTGGGAACTGGGAACTGGGCCTACGCTTGTGCTGACTTTGCCGCCGGCGAGTTTTCCACTTCATCCACTTTGGCGCTGCGTGCACTTTTTGCCTGTCACATTTGTGTCACAAACAGGAAGAGATGGGTGGTGGATGGTAGGCGGTTGGGTGGTGGGCGGGGCTGTCAGTCAGTCGGTTGGTGGGACAATTTGCTGGTCGCTGCCAGCAGTTGTAGTTGCAGTGGCAATGGAAAAAAATGTAGCACACAAAATCAACGCGCACAAGAAAATGAAATGAAAGTTGTACTAGGCGAACGTAAAACGGAAACGGAAATCAGTAGCAGAAGCAGGGAAGAAGGGGCAGGAGGCAGGGGTGTGAAAACGACAACGGCATAAAAAATGTGCCAAGGACAGTATTGCAAAAAGTATTTGCACAGGCGGTGGCCGGGCAGCAACACAAAGCGCTGCGGCGACTGGCAAAGAATTCAGGCTCAACCGAACGAAGCCAAAAGCGAGGCGTAAAATTGAAAAGCGCTTCGGCAAACAAGTAATGGCTAAGACGATGACGACGACGATGGCCAAGATAAAGATGGCCAAGAAATGATGATGAAGAGCCGCTCATGGTGATGCTGATGACCAAAGCTGGAAGAGCGCTAAAACAAGCGGAAGAACGATGCGGTGGCCAGCAAAGCGGCCACTTTGAAGCTCCAGCGCGGCGATTTCTTTTTCTTCTCCTTCGGGGCCCTTGGCCAATTTATTACGCAGCTTTTGGCTCACAAGCACGCTCGGCCCTCTTGTCGTTTATTACCTGCCTTCTGGCCGGGCCAGAGCCAGAACCGGCCCAAAAAAGGCTCTGCCCCCCTGCTTCTCTAGAGTAGCACAACCAATGAACTTTTGTTTCAAAGTCAAATTGTTTTGCATAATTTCGCTGAGCGCAGCCAAGTGGCGAGCAGTGTCAAGCGGTCTGCTTCGCCAGAGCTGAGTAAACAACATTTTCAAAAGCGGCCATAGCCATAGCCACAGCCATAGCCATAGCCATAGCCTGAGCCAGAGCTAGAGTTTTTCGCACCGAGTGCACTTGACAAATTTGCTTAGTTTTTTCGGTGAGTGCATTTCTCTGCCAAAAAGTCACAAAGCCAGAAAAACAGAAGAAGGCTTGGGTCGTCGCCAGTTGATTTTGGAAAGTTTAAGGAGCTGCTCTTGCCTTTAAAGTTCTGGCCACCCTTCCTGCGGCTGTATTGTGTTTGCCTAATTTTTAATAAAATTTCTAATAACATTTTATGGCATAGAGGGGTGCCGGGACCCGGGGGGTTGGCAGCTTTAATTTGGCTTTCCTCGTTTATGCCCACTCGACGGCTCCCTGTCTCAGCCTCAATTATTAATAGAATTTTTTCCGCGTACGCACTTTAGTATTTTTGAAATTTTAATAACATGATGCCTTTTATTGCGCCCAAGAATTGCCGGGGCGGTGGTCTTGACAGGAGCTGGCGGAAAAGGTCCTTTGCTCCTTGGCTCTTTGTCAGGCTCAGCAGGCGGCTATGCCTTTGTTTGAGTCGCGAAATATCAAAATGACAATTTACGTACATTTGCTAACATTTATTTTCCGCTCTAGCTCCTTTAAAGGAACCACAATGCAAATAATACGCCTCTAAAGATGATGGTGCACTGAAAGTATTCATTGTATTTTTTTTTTAAATCTTTGGATCCCCGGGAATATTTAATTTTGAATGCCTTATCGGGGTTTGTTTCAGTGTTTCCGTGGAGAACAATAGGGACTGCTCTTTTCTGTTCGGGCCTGTTTTGTTTAATTTCTTGTTTCATTTACAGATACTACATGGAACGAAAGATCTTCCAGCACCTACTCGAGCTAAAATCTCTGCAGATCCGCTCCAGCAAGCTCAACGAGGCCGTGCTGGTGAAGCGTGCTGTCGAGGATTATCACAAGTCCTGCGTCCTGTTGGGCAGTGAGACGGGCACTCGTCTTCGGCGTTACAACTTCACCGAGTACACGTTCAAGAACTTTGAGTTGTTTCTCTACGAGACCCTTAAAGGACTGCAACGGCCCGGCACCAATAACTTCCAGAACATCAATGAGGTGTACGAGGAGGTAGGATCTGATTTCATATGAGTAATTCCTAACTTTCTAATATTATTTTCTTGAAGGCGGAGCGGCGCTTGAGTCCGGACTACAATGCCTACGAGAAAGCCTTGCAATGCACCACCAAGACGCACCGCTGTCTTCATGCCGCACATGCCTACACGGGTATCCCCTGCGCCGCCTATAGTAAGTAACTCCCTTTAATTAAAGAATCATTCCAGTTAATCACTGTTTTGTGCTGCCATGACATGTTGTTTAAAAGAATTTAGCCCTTTTTTTCTGAGTGAACTTTCCGTTTCTCCCACGATTGCTGGAGGGCTTTAAGCGGCTCAGTGCAAGCGTGAAAAATGGCACCAGACAGCACCGGCTTTGGACGGGTCAAAACGCTTGGCCACGGGTTGGCAACACTTTCACTCGCCGGGGAAAGCAGCAGTTGGCTGGTCAAGCGCGGAATTCACGCGAATTCAAAGCAGCTGCTTTCTCTCGCTTGGCAGCTGCAGGGCATAAAAACATAAATCCTAATTACGAGCAGTTTATTCAGTGCCAGGCAAATTAAAAGAATTCTCGACCCGCCTTTCTGGCTTTCAACTTTTATTACATCTTCCGTTGGCCACTAGGAATTGCCTCAAAAGGATGCGTCCGGCTTATGCCAAATTAAAAACGCATTCATTTCGTAACCCAGGCTATCCACTGCCCGGCCCCTGCCCCCTATTCTGACTCTGTTTATATGTATATATGGTAGAGCTATTTGGCTGAAAGTACCAGAGACGAATGGTGGGTAATTCCGGCAGAGAAAGCTTTTAATCCGGCTCGGAGAGCTTGGCCCAAAAATTGGCTCCCACAATGGCTCCATTTCCGTATTAGTTTTTACCACTGCATGCAATTTGGCTGAGTGCGGAGTGGCGTCCTGAAGGACACCAGTCCGGGCAGGACACCTGCCAGTGTCGCCTGTCAGTTCGGGCCATTCATCGTAGTAAGCAGCGATCATCCCCACCTCTGATCATTAATCTAATGTGTATTTGTCTGTCTTCTCATTGCTGGTTTTTGTTCTCATTGCAGTTCCCATGATGAATCATCACACGATGCCAAAGTTCGGCTTTGGCCCTTACAAGAAGACCGGCAGTGTGAGCAGCTTCTTCCTGCCCAAAATCCTGACCAGCGGTCGTGCCTCCAGTGGACGGGTGGGCGGCATGGGTAGTGCCGGCGGCGGCGGAGGTGGCAGCCGTTGCAACCACAAAGTGGCACTGGAGCTATCGCACGGCAAGAACAAACAGCTAATTTCACTGCCGGCGGAAAAGTTGGACAGCAATAAACGGTATTACGTGACGTTTACCGTCAAGGACTCCTCGGGGCAGGGCAGCGCCATCGAATCGCACCGACCAGCAGCATTCCAGCGGTGTGGCAGTGCCGCGGGCGACCCGAGCGGCAAGTAGCTTGCGTCGTATACGTAATATAACGTATACGCACCGTATGCACCACAACCATCGTCATAAGGCATACCCTTCACCGGCCGGAGCTCCTGCCCTTTGTCCTCATCCCTTTGATGCTGCTGCTGCTGCTCCAAATGCATTAAAACAATGCCATGGCAACATTTTGTGTCGCTGCTACTGCTGCTGCTTCTGGATCTGTAGTTGCCTTGTTGTGGCCACCCGTTGTTCGCGATGTCCTTTTTTTCTTTTCCCTTTTTTTTGTTTGCTTCCTGCCCTGATGCTACTGAAGTAATACCATGGAATATAGATGCCTCAAAGGGTATATAGTTTGGTAGGACTTTTTTTGGATTGATATTTTGTAAGAATAATGATCCTAAAGATGATGGCCATTGGGTTTAAATAAAAGGTTTATCTTAAATATGCCTCACTTTAGATCCTTGCCACAGGGTATATCCACATCCCGTCGCTATCCTTTTTCGTAATGTTATTCCTGCTGCACTTTAAGATGGCCAACTGCTGATAATGGATGATGGCTCTGCTCTGCGGCTGTCAGTTGAAGTTGTCACGCCGGCAGCGATGCAGGCAGCAGCACCAGCAGGAGTTTAAACAGAATCAGTACCACGGCCAGGACCACTTGCTGTAGCACCACCAGCAGTATGAACAGCAATTGCTAAGGCAACGGCAGCTTAAATTATAGTGTCCTCCAACCCGGGAGCCACGCTCCACTCTGTTTGCTTTTGTTTTGTTTGCTGTTTCGCATTCTTTTTCTGCTGTCTGTTTGTTTGTTTGTTTATTTGTCTGTTTGTGTGTTGGCGCTGGCGCTGCCGCTGCGCTTTTATTTCAGTTTTTCATTATCATTTTTTGTCGCAGTTGTAGGGATGTGGGCGGGATGGCTGCTTTGCTGCTGCCTCTGCTTGGCATGCTCCTAATGCCACAGATAAGCGTTGTTATTAACGCTCGGCTTACCAGGACTAGGCGACAGGCGTGAGGACATGCCGCCCATCGTCGCTTTTGTCCTCACTCAGCAGCTATGAAAGGCAAGAAGTGGGGTGGGAGCAGGGTTGTAGGGGCAAAAAGCAACATCAGGAGCACCAAGAGCCGGAGCAGGAGCAGGAGAAGGAGCAGCTACAGGAACAGAAGCCAAAGCAGATTCAGAATCAGCGAATGAATAAATGTAAAATATGTACCGTGCATTTCTTTGGCATTTCAACATTTTTACTTTATTTGCAATTTTATTTACTTGTCTGTGCTCTTGTGCGCTTTTGCCCCGGTCCTGGGAGCTTCTCCAGACCCCTTCCTCCCAACCAATCCTCAAACCCTCAGCCAAGCCATTCAAGCCGTTGTTTGTTTGTTTGTTTGTCTGTTTGCTTACTTCGCGCTGAGTGCATTGTAAATGGAGAATAATTGCATTGCATACAAAAAGCGTCGCGATTTTTAAATTGTATAACCGAAGCAGTAGCAGCAGGAGCATCAGCAGAAAGAAGCACCCAGAACAGCAGGAGCAGGAGCAGACTCAGCAGCCGCCGTAAAATGATTTCTTTAAATATCAAATTATAAAAGCGGAGTGCATAATAAATTTCGCATTTTAAGAGTTCGCGTTCCACGTAGGTTTAAGGCAGCTGTTGCAAGAATAAATGTTGAAAATGTCTAAATTGAAGGAAAAATTGAAATTTCATCCCAACCACATGCACCTACACGAGAAGAACAAAAAACCGAAAAAAATAACAGCGGAATATGTACACATGGCTGTAGTCAAAACAATAGTGCCGTGCCAGAAATGTCCTTGGCATAGATTCGCAGGCGGGCTGATTGCTCGCTTTCCAGGCGCCGGTATCATTATTTCAGCATCTGCCCGACGACAAAAGACAAGGATGTGGGATGGGCCGAGTGGGGGCCGTGGGTGGGAATACAAAAAACGAAAACATTTTTACGGCATTCTCGGCATTTTCAGAATCTCCACCACCTACCGCGTTTGAGGCTTGTAAAATGGCAGCTGAATTCTCTGGGCTGTCGGAAGGGGGAGACTTTGATGTCAGCTTTCAAACGGAGTCAGGGTCTCAGCCACTGCCGGAGTGCCGGGCCACTGCAGCTGTCAGCCAGTGATCGCAATAATTGCTGCGCCCAATCGACAACGTTATGAGTTTCGCGAGGACAACCGTGGCGGGTCCAGAACCTGCTGCTAATTGAATTCCAAACTGGCCTTTATGGCGTCCAAGTGGCATCGTCGGCGGCCAAATGGCCGATAGCCAGGCCGAGGTGGTCGGTGGTTGGTTGCCGGATTAATATTTCAACAGCCCTGTCCGGACTAAGCGTTCCTCCGTGAGCTGTGACAGCTCAGTTTGAATGGCTAAGGACCTGGCCCATCCAAAGGCGCCTTTTAATTTATTTAAGCACATTCAAGCTAAGCAGTCACTTTCGGTTCAACGAAAGGATGGCAGGAAAAGGACACTTGGGAAAATATAACCTGGACTCTAGACATTTTTTTCAAGGTGGTATATAATGTGATTATAATGGTTTAAAGACTTGTGAGAGTTGCTTAAAAATTAATATTGAATTCAGAAAAAATTGCGAAAATATATTGCCATACTTACTTTAAAAGCCCTTGTTTTCAGTTACCTTCTTTCTTCAATTAAAAGGACAATTTCATTACTTAGAACTGTGGTGAGCTCGGTTATGAAGTAAGCCACATTCCAGGATCTGGTTTTTTAAGTGCAGGATATAAGTTGAAGTGGGGCAACTGACCCAGGATTCCATTTCGATTTGCGCACTTGGCAGCAAATCTTCGGATTTATGTGGCTTTACTTTTAGCCCGAGTGCTGCAAAGTGCGTTTTGGGTCGAAAGAGCGTTCAGAGCAAGAAGCTGCTGTCTGAGGGAGGGAGCGGAGAATGGGACTTGAAATTCCTGGCAATTGCCAGGGAAGCTGCACCGAAAGCGGTTGCCAGCAAATGAAAACGCCATAAAATTGACAACAAAAGCAAAGCCGAAGGTAAGTTGGAAGAAAGGTAAATCCGCACGTGCCAACTCAAATTAAGGGCAATACTTTGGAAGGGAATTGGGGAAATGCGTCGACTCGACTCAACCACAATGCAGATTCAAAGTACTTGTAACATTTTGAAATTAAGCTTCGGCTTGGGCATGTCTTGGCATTCCATAGGAGGGAGGGCCGGGCTGGTTCCATTACCAATCGATTTCCCTAATTCGGTTTGAATGTCCCAGAATTCCGATGCCAAGTTGGCGCTCTAAAAAGTGTGCAACAAATTACGACAAACCGGCTTGCATTCGCAGAAAGTTTCGTGGAAAACTTTATTTTCGTGGGTCCTGCCACTTCGCACACTTTGCAGATTTTCCACCACTCCCGCCCCACCCCGCCCCATCTCGGTTTTAATCTCCTGTGCATGGCAAGGAGGCCGGGAGAGCACCACCCCCGCCCCGAAGCTTTACAGCCTTAATTCGAATCGCCGGCTTTTAGGCGGTGCGCTCGTGTTTGGCTTTGGGGCAAAGGCATCAGACCCGGCCCCGGATCCGGATGCGGAGTAAGGCAAAGTTCTGTATAAAGTAATGAAAGCACAGGCGGCGAGGGAGTGGGTGGCTGGGAAACTGACTCGGTCTCGATTGACCGACCGACCAATGTTTTGATTACGCGCCTCAAGTGGCAATCAGGCTGCAGACGGGGATGCAGCTGCGCAGGATTTGCTCAGCATTAACAACACTTAACCCAAGGCCGACCAGGATTGGGCAAACAGGATTCGATCGGCATCTCCAAGGCATTAATCTTCGCTTTGATGTCGGCCCGACCCGGTAATTGAAATTGATTTCAAGGCAAAGGGGTTTGGTTTGAATCTTGTTTATTTATTCAGTATTCATTATTATTATTATTATTTGTATTATTAACACACTCAGTAGTTTCGACTTAGTTTAAACGTATTTCACTTTAAAGTTTGCTTCCTCTCATTAAATTTAATTCATTCGTAAGACTAACTTGCTTAAAAACAATCAGTTTGGTTTTGTCCAGAGTGACAGAGACAGAGAACGGGTGGGGGCTCCAGATCCCCCAATGTTTCCATATATATGTGTCTATATGTATAACTATTTCAATTTACTTTATTACGCATACGCACTGTATATTTTGCTAGTCTGCCATTTCGTTTTATTTTTGTATATTTGAAATTAGAATTCGAATTACATTGAAGTACTGTGTAAACTGTATGGCGTATCATTATTATTATTATTATTACTTTTATGTCGTCCTTTCTGCTCGGTTACTTTAGGTATTTATAACATTTACAATGAATTCAGTTTTATGGCTGTAGTTGGGTAGGGGGGGGGCCTAGGTCGTACTGTGAACTATGAACTCTGGGAATCGTCATTTATTCATTATGCATCCGAACAACTCCCACTTTGGCGGATGCCGCATCTTGGCATTAGCCTCGGCTGGTCGGGGCAATAGAATATTCATGAACTGCCATAAATAGCGGCCATGAAATGGCCAGGACAACAAAGGAATTGCAGAGATGTGGCCGGAAATAGCCGGGACAGATGCTGGAAATATTTTAATTTGTTGGCCAGTACCGAGAGATTGGGATTTAACAGCTAATGGATTTATATAAGTATCATTGTACACAGGCATAAACGGGTTCTGATAACCAATAACTCTCAGTTGGCTTCGAGCTCTATGAGTCTAATTACACTTGAAATACACACTCCTTAGTCTGGCTAGTAGCTTACGTACTAGTTGTTCATTAATTACAATTAATTTTTAACACTTAAATGCAGTTTGATTAATGTTTGCCCGTTCTCTATTTACAGTCGATGGTGCAACAGCAACGATATCCGTACGATGATCTATATAGTAGTGTAATGGTGTGTGGTATATGCTATTTACATGTTTCATATTTTGATTTCAGTTACAAGTCGGTAGCGTATTTATAGCGCAGCTGATGTTGCCGTCGTTTTGCTTATGGGTTCTGATTTATTTTGATTCTGCATTCGCAATTCGTATGACACTTAAATGGCTGACAATTACAAAATGGCTTATCCTTATCCCTAATCCGTATCCTGTATCGGTATCGGTACCTGTACCTACACACACACAAATGTATATCCTCCAACGCACCTAATACGGAGTAATGCCTTCTACCTTTTACGCTAATGCATTTAAATTTATGCTAAAAATTTACAGCTATGTTAAATGAAATGCCCGTGAATTATGAGGCCTCACCGCCGATCTGTGTGTGTCAGTGTGGTGGGTATGCAGGATGTGTGTGTCTATTTCAGTTTGTTGTGTTCGCCCACTATGGCAGATATTTATTATTACTTTTTACAATTACTTCAGCGTTGGATCCAGGGTCGTAAATTCCAATTCGCCGCGCGGCAATATCAGATCCGGGTCTGCAATATACACTTTGGTTGGTTGGTATAAAACAAAATCAACAACAATGGCGGAGAGAGCATATGTGAATGTACGTGTGTGATTGTTGTGTTAGTATTTGTGAGAGTGTATTGTGTGTGTGTGAAGGAGAGACATAAATTCATGTGAGAGTGAGTAATGGTTGCGTGTTTGTGTGTGTCCAGGAATAGAGAAACAAAAGCAAATGTTTATACCGATTAGTTTGGCTTGTTTGTTGTTATTGCTTTTGAGATTCACAACACTTGCAAAATGACATCATAACAGAGTTGCAAATTATTATTTGAGCGGCGAAAAGAAAAGAGAACCATTAGCAAATACATATCGAAAGCGTGACCAACTGTGCGCTGATAAGAAAATAAATAGCATCTAATAAAACAGCAATATGAATCACAACAGCAACGGAAACAGAAACAGAAACAGATACACGAACAACAGAGACATTTTAATATTAATATTCACTTTATTGGAACATCCAGGACTTCCTTCTCGAAACTCCTCTATTTCCATTCCCATTTCAATTCCTTCTACTGCTCGTAAACGTAAAATAATTCAACAATTTCTTAATTTTTATAGCACATTTCGCCCGAATTTATGTGGGGTGTGGGTGGTGGGTGATGGGTGGTAGGTTGTCCGATGGCCCCTTTTTATTGTGGTCCGAAGAGGACTTATTGTGTTGACTGTTGGATGGGTACAAGTGAATCTTAAGCGCCATCTAGCGTTGGCTGCCGCAAGCATTCGTCGCTTGTTGTTTACGATTTTGCAGTTTGTTATTTGACGTTGCGCTACCCTCGGCGGCAGCCACCCTGTGATATTTTATTATTATCGCCTTTTATGTCACATTTGTGTGGCGTCTTTGAGTCATAAAGACGCACAAACTAAGGCAACTCTATGCCCTCTATGTGTGGGTGTGGCTCTGTGTCTGTGAGGCTGTGGCCTTTCACGTTTACTTTCACGCCATGCCTGACAGCATTAAAAAATGTCAAAAGTCGCAAAAATGTTGCCAGCCTGGATGGCCCAACAAAAAAAGGAAAACCTACCAAGGGAGCTATGGGAGGAAACGGAAGTACGGCGACAAATGAATGAACAGCGTTGACATTGAGGCTTCGCAGGAGTGGCTGCTTGTGTGTGTTAATACGCTGGGGTGGACCTCTAAAGGGTAATAAAGATCACTTAGCAGTGATAAATGATAGGCGAGCTACCATAATTGATATTCATCATAAATTTATGGAAACCATTTAGAAAGGTTGTAATAAAATATTTTAACCAATCGAATAATTGATTTTAGTCAATATTGATGGCAGATAATGCCCCTAAAGAAATATATAATATTGAATAAATAATTGGGCACACACTGCGTATGAGTAATGTCTGATTTCTAGATTTTGGGTTCACTCTAGTCCTTACACCGTAGAGCCTTTTGCTGCCACATAAACAATGTAGCCCAAGCAAATTCTGTGGCATTTTTTGCGGAATGACAGGAACATCAAAGTAAGGGCATAAACCAGATAGACAAGAGACATGCGGGACACATGCAGAGGCACTGGCAACAACACTTTAAGGAGTTGTCTTTAAGATAATGCCACCGCAGCAAATGGCACCGTGTGCTCATTTCGAGTGGCTGCTGTGTGCGGCTCGGTCTCAACTTTGTCTAATTAGACGAGTGCCGCTGGAGTGCACACGAAACCCACGGCGAACCGACCTAATACCACCTACTTCAGCCCAGCCCACTCGCATTACTTACAATCCAAATACCCATACATTGGGGCTAGGTACAAAAAACCTCGCTGGCATTCCTCGCTCGGCAAGGACGAAGGCTACACAAATGTTGTTGCGTTGCTCAGACGCTTGCGTCTCAGGACTCTTCACACACACACTCGCACAGCAAGACAAACAGCAACTAAGAGACAAAAAAGGATGCTCTGCAAAATGAATGGAGCAGCACGAAATGAAACAAATGTGCACAAAAAGCTTGTCTTCCTCTGGCCCCCATCCTTCGTCCTTATCGCACGCAAGTCGAGATGACTGCGGGGCACAAAAAGTCAAACGAATTTGACTAAGCCGCGGGCCCAGTTGCCTCCACCCCAGAGCCCCCTGTGCCCCTGTGCCACTGTGCCACCTGTACAGTACAGTGAAGCACGCGAGACTGGCATATGCAATTAAAAATGCCGGCTAATGACAGGCAACTGCCGAGATGTAAAGCTGCGGACGGGTGCCTTTTTGGTGCCAGAGGTACAGTACAGTACAGTACATAAATATAAATTTGTTTGCGTGTTTTTGTGTGTGCACAGCGGCTCACTTGTTTGCCTTGAGTTACAGTGCTAGAAGTGTTTTTTTTCTGCCTCCAAAACCTTTTCATTTCAATTTGACTTTGCTGCAAATGGAAGGACTGTGAATTCCTAAGCAGCGCCATCTAATATCCCAACATGCTTCCTCTCTTTAGCCGTAAGACATGAAAAATTGGATTTAATTCTTATATCCATTAAATAGTTATTTTTCCCTTTTTTTGAAAGGGAAGCTCGTGAAACTACTTTGCCGTGGAGATCCGAAATTGTGTGCCTCTCGGACCCGTTCCTCTCGACTCCTTCGGAGCACTTTGTTGTGACTTCAGCACTTGTTAGTGTCTTGTAAGCCAGTTGACTTGGTTTACGTTCTGCCGGTTGGGGAGGACAGCCCAGTAGCGGGAATTACAAATATTCCCACCCTGCACTTGGCCCCGCTGACAGTCGAATGAGTATGTGTGTCGTGTCGTGTCTCTTGCCCCCCAGCGAACATAAATTAAAGAGCCTGCTGGGGAGAGTAGTGCAAAAAAAAAGTCATACAAGGGCGGAAGGACGGGCGGAAAGTAATGAAAACATAAAATTAAATCGCTGACAAAATCAAATTTAGCTAATTTGTGACATTTGAACCCACGCACTAAAGCCGGCACACACGCAGGAAAAGCTAAAAGAGACGGGGACACATGTTATTTTAGCAATAATATCACGTATACGACACATCTGCCCATTAAATAATATTTGCATTTGCCAGCATGCCGGAACGCAGGAACGTCGTGCCCAGCAATTCCGGCTCCGACTCTGCTGATGTGTCTCTGCTGATGTTTGTGTGCCTTTGTGCTTATTTTTGTGTTTTAATTTAGTGCTTTCGAAATAATTAAAATTTATGCAATTCAAAGTTAAAACAAAGTCTGCATGAGCTCGCTCGGCAAACAGAGCCGGCAGAGCAAAGAGCGGAGGGTAGCGGTGCCAGAAGGGTTAAAAAGCAGAATATTTTGCAAATTTGTTGCTGTCCGAGGAGTGTTTATGTATATACATAGTACATGTGTCTGCTTTGCTTTGGAATATGTACATGTGTACATTAAAAATATCCTAGAGAAATATCCTTGTCAATGCACTGAGAAATCGGACTAGCTTCTGAATGGAGAAACGATTAAAGAACACATGTCAGACTTGATTTTTTGAATTAAATGTACTTAATAGCTATCACATCTTACTATTTTAAACTTTTATTCTTTGTGTATGACTGAAAGTCTGAAATGAAAACAAATATCTAAAAAGAAAAGTCCAAGCAAACAACTAAAGACTTTGCCACTGTCTTGCTGAAGTTTTATACTTTTACAAAAATAATATTTACTTCTACACAACCTTGTATGTTTTTATCACCAATTTGCCAGACGAATGGATTCTCATAAACTTCAATTAGCTTTATTTAATATCTCTCTGATCTGGCCGGTGACCGAATCATAGAGCACTGCACCGCAACGAAAGAAGAGTTTTTGGACATTTTGTGGCATTTGAATATCCATTGCAACAAAGCCATGCCAAAATAATTAGAAATTCTCAAAGAGAATGAGTGAAATCAGATGAAAGACATGTGAATGCTGGGAATTGTGTGGTCCAAACGAACGTAACAAGCAAAGTAAATTGGGATGCCAAATGGACAACAAATTAAAATGTGAAATGATGCAGGAATGGCATGGTCTCCAAAGAAGGGGATATTAAAAATATTTCAAAGCCCTATCCGAGCCCCCCGAACAGCCAACGCCTGCTGCCAATTTCGACAGCAGACTTGGCTTAAACATGACTGCCCAGCTGCAGTTGCAGTTGCATTTGCAGCAGTTGCTCCTGTTGTTCCTTTTCCAGTTTCTGATTCTGATTCTGGCTCTGATTCGGAGTCGGATTCGGGTTCTGTTTCTTAAAAAGTAAATGTATCTGGTGCTGTTTCTGTATCTGTTTCGGGTGGTGAGTGCATGGGGCCTGTTGTCGTTCGACTTGCTGCATAGATTTAGTTACATAAAATTTACTTTGCATACATTTGGGCGGCCAGGCAGCTGTCGCCTGGGATGCCGAGGGCTCCAGGGCCAAGACCACGCTCGAGACGGCGGGGGACGAGACGTTTCGAGGCTGGCTGGACGTTACGAGCAGGGGCAGCAGCACATCGCCTGGGTGGATATAGGAAGGATACAACAAGGAACATGAGTCTCGTTAGTCTCGCAGCTACAAAACCGGAGCCACTCTGCGTATGAACTCCCGTACTCCTACTCGAATGCATATGGGGGTCACTACAATGCTTTAAATACTGGGCAAGGTATTTACAACTTCAAGTCGGGGATTAAGATAGTTTGGTAAGCAAGTGGAGATACGGTTTGGCTACCTACAGAAACAGATAGAAAAAGAGGGAGACAGAGAGACAGGGAGAGAGACAGAGAAAGAGTGGGTTAGAGGATAATAGACAGAGTCGGAGTGAACTATTCTAATCGAGAAGGAGAGGACTGTACTGTAGAAGTGGGTGGTGGACAGCTCAGGTGCCTGGCTAATGCGAAAATATCTTGCCAAATACTTGACTTAATCGCTTTCAAATTAAATGTAACAAAATTACATACTTTGATCTGCTCTAATTGAAGGAGTGTACTCGCATGTCATAAGCTACTTTGGTGAATGCTAAATGAGGGGCAATTAGTTTTTCATTTACATGTGCTCTTAATACTCGTTAGTTGGCAGCCAATTTGATGTGCAACCGCATCATTAGCGCCAACTCAAGCCAACCTAATTATAGTTTCAGTGTATTGGTGTTTGTTGGCGTGTATCTATGTGTGGCTCTTCCCCAAATGGCCAAAATGGTCATTCCCCCGCCCCGAACACACGCTACTCACATGCCAAGTACTTGAATAAAAATAATATCAAAACAATTATGAAAAACCAAATACCAGTGTTCAGGGTGCACTTGCAGAAAATATGTATATTCTTTGACAGTTTATTCGAGCTAAACAAGATGTTAAATTAGACTATATAATGGCTGTGTGTGTGATGGTGTATTCTTGTGAGGTGTGTGTGTATTTACAGGCATTTGAAGTGCATGTCATCTATTTACATACGCAATAAATTCTTTGTGGAAAATCAATCAACTAAAACTACCAATATAAATTAATATCAAGAGCGCACTCGAGACGCAACTCAAAAGTTGTTGAGCAAACCAAGAGGGGTGCATTCGCAGAGTGGATATGCAGATAAATAGATAGATAGATACAGAGATAATAAATTGATGACTACTTGACTAGAACTACTGGCTACTACATCTACAACTACAGCTTGTTGAGTATAGATTTTGGAATAGTACCGTTTAGACTGGGCTGCGCGTACTGGATGAAGCTCTCGGAGATGTAGTGATGAGGGCCGGCCACGCCAACAATGGCGCCGCCACTGGAGCCCACTCCGGGCACCATGCCGCCACCACCGCCTCCGCCGCACAGGTGGGCGGTGGCCGGGGCGACCCGGGCCCGTATCTCGGCCGCTCGTCCGCCGCCCTCCTCCAGCTCGTTCAGCTCATCCTCCTCGATGTACATGCTGGGCACATCATTGCGCGCAGGCCTGAAAAAATGGCAAACAAAGGCATAAGTTGGATGTTGAAAAATAGTCGCCATAATCTGCTAAAAGTTTCTAATAGTTCCCCAGGCGGGTATCATTTTTTTCATTCTCTTATAGAAAACTAAGCCACCTGATGACTCTCAGGCGGTTCGAATTTCAATTTCAACAATCACATAAGGGTATAGCCTTTCAGGGATTCCATTTGCAGGACTTAATTCCCCCAAAACACTCTCCTCTTTCCGCAAATATCAATCGACCCGCCTGATGGTCCAATTTAAATGAAAAATAAACCGATTTCCCCCGGGCATGCTAATTACTGTGCACTCGCCTTTACTCCTCTTATCAGTCAAAAAGTTTCGCTGCCTGAACATAAAATTCAAATATTTGCCCCAATACGGTGCTCCGAAAAGGCAAATCATTAAAATTTATGCATAGACGCACATGTGACTGAATCGCCAGGTATTTCGGCAGCGCGGACAGGACCACATACAGTTCAGGTGCGCCACCAGCTGATGGCGAAAATAATTTATTTATGCGAGATGACAGTCGGATGGTCCCGCCATTTAATGACCCGCATGCATTTTCGCTTTGATGTGCTCCGGGCTTGACTATTTCCAACTATAATTAATATTTCGTTGGGGTCTCCTCTTTGAAGTGGTCGCCCGAGTTCATTATTGAGCAATCAGTGTGAGCCGCAGAATCAAAGAAAAAGCCAATCCGCCGGGTAGAGGTCGCGCAATCACCGTGCTACCTCGATACAAAGGAAACACCGATGGTGGGTGTTTATCTTTCATTAGCCAGCACCACCAGCCAGTTGACAAGGACGGTGGGATGTGGAGGTCGCAGCAGCAGCATCGGCTAAGCAGCTGCTTAATTACCCACCCATGGCGATGCGACCCTACCCTTTCGCAGATACAGTTCTGATTTCCTATCTTAAATGGAAACTCTCACTTGTGCGGCCACCTCGTTTCCGGATCCGGCTCCGGCTCCGGGTCCGGGTCCGGGCCTCGTTTTCTTTTTCGGGTCAGGCCGTTCGGGTCGTAGTCAGGTGCTGGTTTAATTAATTTAATTACAGACTAAGCATAATTTACTGGGCAGGTGCGTGCTCTCCGCTAGCTTGGCTCTAATCGATGGACGATCGCCTTAATGAACCCTAACATTAACCAGCCCGCGCGTTGAACGGGTGGGAGGCGCGGGAGTTTAAGGGGTTATATACCTTCTTTGTCGAAGAAAATGAGCAAAGTTCGGATTTTTTTTTAGGTATGTAGCAATTATTTAATTACACTGATGTTTTAATTTTTTGATAGTACACTTTATTAACAATATTTGTGCAAAATTTGGTGGAAAAATATTAAATAGTTTTTAAGGGGTGGCTGTTTCCCTTAGAGGCCTTTTTTTTTTAGAGCCTTGCGGTGACAGTTCCCCAGGTCAAACAGGTCAACTTAAACCATAAAAGTAAAAATATTTCATTAGTTTAGAGTAATCTCTTGTGCTTGAACGATCGATTTTAAAATTTTTTGTTTTTGTTTGGATATGGCAGCGTTTTATGCTAAAAATGAAAGTTTTGGTCTCTAGAAATTTCACTAAAAATTTATTTCGCCGAAAAAAAGTTTGCGCGTGAAAAGTCGATCGTTCAAGCACAAGAGAATTTCATTACGAACATTTTAAAAAAATTTGAAGTAAATCGGTTCAGTAGTTTTCCGCCAATCCATGTCACCGCAAAGTCATTTTTCAAGAAACACCATTTCGAGATATTCGCGTTTAAAGTTTCAAGTTCAGTTCAAGGCCGCAACGAGGCGTGCGATTAGGAGCGCTGTAACTTTTTTTCTACTGCTCCAATCTCTATGAAAATATGGGAGAATGTTCTCAAGGAGTTGTTCTTCAAGATAAACAACTAAAAAAATTTTCGTTTTTTTGAAAATAAAAAAGGTATATAACCCCTTAAAGCCTGGAATCATATTGATTGAGCGGCCATTTCAGGGTGGCTGTCATTTAATTACTTCCTGCGTAATAAGCATAACCGAAGGAATGCGCAAGAAAGTATGCTATGTCCGCCAGATCCACGCCCACTCGGCTGTCAGTCACGTGGCCCACATAAATAATTTCGTAATTATTTCTGCACACAGACAGAGGCCGAGGCACAGAAAGATAGAGAAGCACACACATGCCGGTAGCCAACAATTTCATTATTAGTTTTTCCCCAAGCAAAACAAAGGACTGGGCCAGGAGGCCAGGACTCACCTCATGCTCTTGCGCACCTCCTGCGGCTCAGGTGGCCGCGGCCTGTGCCGGCAGACCACCACGATGCCGGCCACGATAATTGACGTCACCACGACGGCGCCTATCACCACGGTGGCGGCTAGAATCAGCAGCGTCGACTGCTTCTCCGGTCCGCTGCCGGTACTGGCGCCGGTCCCCACGCCGCCGTTACCGCCTCCGCCGCCCGCTCCCCCGCCGCCCACATGGTGCGTCGTTTCTGCGGGCGTTGGGTCCTCCGACAGGATAGATTCATCTGAAATAAAAGAAGGGAGTGAGGTTTCTATCAGAGCAAATGAGGAAAGTTAAGTTTCAAGAATCACATGGGAAAGAAGAGTAATATATTATAGTAAAGCAATTTTTCACAGTGTATTCCCCCTCGGAAGATGGCTATCGTAGGTGGGTCTCGGGATAGTTTCAGGGGCCTCGCAATGATTTGTTATTTGCTCGGAATTAGTTTGATACTGCCGCTGATTTCTATTTGCCTCGCCCAGCTCGTCGTTTATTTATTTATTTGTTTTGCTGGGCCGTGTTCTTTTGCCTAACTGATTGCTTTGACTGTTTGCTTATTGTATACCCCCTTCCGTTCCAAGGCCCTGGGGAAATTGGGTTGAAAATTGAAATTAGCCAAATAGCAGGGCCCCTTCTAATCCTGGCGAATGGCAGCATCAGATCATTCGCTGCAGATGAGGAATTATGAAAACCAAAGACCACGGAGCAGGAAATATATATGCCAGGACCTTCGGTCGGTTATTACTAGCGATTAGATTTGATGACACTTGCCGCAAAGCTTTGGCAATTATGAGCAACATGTGAGCCAGAATGCCATTGTTTATATTTATTAGATTTCCAGCCAACGGAAATTGCAGCATAATGTGTGTACGGGGTCCGGGTGCGGGCTACTGATTGTAAGATGATCCCCGGCTAAGATTTATGCCAGACATTCGTTAATGCCAACCTGCCCATTCAAGCTCCACTCCCTTCACCTTCACCCCGACAATGTGGCACATTTTTGTTGGCAGGGCAGCATTTCCGCTCCATTTGCGGGCCGTCAAAGGAAAGGCCTCGGAATTGAAACATTGCCAACCTTCGAGCTGATGCTGATACTGATGCTGCTCCTTCGTCCTATCGTCCTGGCGTCCTGGCTTTTGAAGTGAGCGTTTGAGTGGAAATTGCCTACACCTGCGGCTCAATTTAATTTTTGTTCCTGCCTCTCTCGTTATTGCCTGGCCCCTGGACTGGTTCGGCTTCTGATGCCATGGTTCACGGGAGCTTCACCTCCATCGCCATCTCCACCTCCATCATCGTCTCAGCTTTTGCTTTTTTAATCAGTTTGCCAGGCTGCGTCTTGTCGTCGTCCTTTCATTGTTGGCCAGAAGCGGGGCATTTGCTTATTTATTCCCTGGCTTTGATGCTTTTCTTATTTTTATTTTTTCTCCAGCAAGCTCAAGTGGCCACTTTGCTTGATATTTTTCACGTTTTCCCTTCTTTATTTTTCTTTGGTTTTCTTTTTGGCGTAATAAATTTTGCTGATGAGTTCTGCGTAAACTGATTTAAATCAGCGTCAGCTGATTTGGCCTCATTTTATTTATTTCCTGGAATCTGGTTAGGTGGCAACTGTTTTCCCCAATTTATAGCCCCACACATATGACTATGCCACAGACCAAGGATATGCCCACGAACTCTGCTAGAAATCTGCGTAGGCCCGGCCAGACCGAGCAGCTGTTAAAATTCCGCATAAATTAGTAGGCGTTCGCCGCCACCCGGAAAAATCGGCACAGTCTATATCCCCGGCTGTGCAATCACAGGAGCAAATTTACGAGGCACGGAAAAGCCGAGCCTGCCGCTTCCAAGCCCATTAACATATATAAGTAACATGGGCGACGCCCGGCTTGGGGCAGATGTTGTTTCATGTAAATAAGTTTTGGCAGCGAATACAGTGCCTGCAACCGACTACCAAAAACGGCAAAAGCGGGCTTAATCGAACATTTGCGTATCAAATGCAATTAGCGCCATTAAATCGGGTCAATATGAGTGATTTATGGCCAGCGGGCGAGGCTGGCGAAAGCGAAATGGGAACCGAAATGAAAATGAAAATGGCCAAAAGGAGGCACCGTCGCCTTGCACGGCTGAAATGGCTGGGGAAATGGTAATGGAAATGCAGATAAAAATAAAAATCAACATGAAAATAATGACAACATTGTTGTCGTAGTTGTGTGCCAAAGAGAAAGCAGTTGAGAAAGTGAAAAGAAAGCAGATAGAGATGGTGATGGAGGAAGAGAAAGCCAGAGTGAATGGGAAAGGAACAATAAAAGAAAAGTGTCTACGGTTGCCGTTAAGCAAAACGAAAATTGAAGCAATTCCGCTTACACTCCACTCACACAAAGGCACATTCACACACGTCAGTGTCAGTGCGTGTGTGGGTGTGGGTGTGTGTTTGTGTGTATGCGAGGCGCATTATGTCGTTAGGCTGAAGCAAAATGAAGAGGCTGTTGTGGCACGCCCTTGCGTATACGTAATATGCGTGCCCCACTCAAAGAATTGATGGAAAATGCTGAAATGCTTTCCGCTTCACTGCATAACTCAGTCAGTGGATTAGAAAAGGGCGTCTTGTCCTGGTCCTTGGGTATCCTTACATCCTAACATTCTACTGCCTGCCCGACTGCCTGCCTCGGCAATGTTGAGACTTCAGGTTTTCGGTCCTCTCTCCCCTTTTTTTCAGGGGTTTTGTTTGTAGGTTCTTGGGTGACGCCATGTGCGAACTTTTCGCGGCGGCTGACTGAAGACGATTTCCCCGAACTTGCGTTGATTTGAAAATGCAGTCAAGCGTTGAATTAGACAGTTCCGTCCTCAGCTGTTTCGGGGCTCTACATAGTTCCACTTTCGTACCCGGGCTCAGGGTATTTTATTGGCCCGAGGCCGCTGGAAAAGTGACCCACAAACTTGGGTCTGAGATGGCCATAACTTGCACTGTTTATGTGATTAGCAGGAGTCCTTTCTTTTTTCGGTTTCCGCCTCTCAACTGTCAAGCGTGTCAGATTTTGTTGTTGTCGATGCTTTTTCGGTCCTGTTTTAAAAGAGATTCTAGTATATAGGGGTCTATTGGGTACTCACCATATGGTCCCAGTTGGGCGGCCACGCGTACATTCTCAATCACCACCGGCGGCTCGCTGCGCCCTTTGGCGTTGACGGCGTAAACTAAAAATTGATATTCACGTCCCGGCTCTAAATTATTCAAACGAAACTGTGGACTGTTCTCCTGCATGCGGAAGATGGGTGCAGATGTCGCCTGAAATAATACACAAGCACATATATTTGAAAGAGGCACACACAAAAGTCGGCAGGACAACGGGCGCATTTATAATTCACCGGCCATATGGAGTCGCTGCAAAGTATGCTATGTATTTTTAACTTTTTCGGGACCAGCTCAGACCCAACGCATAAATAATTATTCATGCCTAAAATGTTGTCAGTAACTGTACCGCTCCAAGTGGCCAGGAGTGGTACAAGCCGAAAGCCGAATGGGAACCAGAAACAGAAGCTGAAACTGAAACAGGACAGTGGCTGAAATTTTAAACTGAATATCCGTTTGCCGTAATGGGACACAATCGAGTGAGCTTCGTTGGTTACGCACAAATTCCCACTCAAGTAAGCGTAAGTAATTTATGTTGTCCTTGCGGCACTTTTCCATCCCTATAGTCCTGCTGCCACTTTCCTGCTGCCCAGAGCCCCTACCCCGTCTCCTTTTCGGCATGCAGGATACCAGACTGTGTCTTTTATCTAGCATGAAACTTTAAAGCTGCCAGCCAAACGGACCAGCGCGTGGGTCACACTCTGACCGAAGCCCTGGCGTCCTGCTCCGGCTCCTGCTGCGGACAGAGATGTAGTCCCATCATCATCTTCATCACCATCATAATAATCATCATCTCCTTCATCATTGCATGATCATCATCGTTTCATGACCATGCTCGTGATGAGCTTTTGCGCTTGGCTACTTTGCTAATAAACTCGCCCGGCAAGCGCTTCATCAACGTAGAAGAAGCACACCCTGGAAACCCTGAAACCCGGGAATCCCTCCCAAACCCCCCTGTTGAAAGCAGCCAAACGAAATGAAATGAAATTTTCATATGATATTCCCATTTGCGAGTGACAGAGATAATTTAATAACTCAGCATGCAGTAAGTCGCCTTCGCCATGGAGTATAGCGGGCAAAGGGTATCCTTGGCCATAGAAGGACTAACAGCATTAATTATGTTGTCCCTTTTACACTCGAATTGAGCAGCAGCCCCTCCCGAAAAATATTTATTAATAATTCAAGCAGAAAAGTCAAAGGACATGCACACTAATTGACCGTATGGATTTCAAGTGAATTATTGCCAGATCCCTAAGCTCTACTTCTACACTCTCTGATGTTTCAGTTTAAGTTTCCCCCTCCTTGTGAGTTTCAGCTTCAGCTTCAGTTACATCTTAAGCCACTGTTTCTAGCTGCCGGCTGTTCGACGAACCGTGAGGAAAAGTTTAATTTAATTGAGCAATTTGCCAATTTGCATGCCGGAACTTATCAACTTAGGGCAAACTCGATTCTGTACTCACCTGATCGTTCAGCGTGGATATCTCGTTCTCGCCCAGGCCGATGGCCTCGCCGAATTGTCCTCGGTTCTGGCCCGTGCCCGGATCGCTGGAGTAGAGCAGGTCTCCGCCCACCACCTCCAGCATGAAGTATTGGGTCAGTCCTCCGTCGCTGCCCGCCACACAGACCACCTCCAGGACGGTGTCGTTGCGCAGTTCGCAGGCCTTTGGTGCCTCCGGGGTATCTGGGTGAGAGTCGGGTAGAAGGGAGAGGGTGGGCCATGGCCCAGAGATAGCAGTTAGTCAAATGGTCGCATCAGACAGGCCGGGGCTTAATGGCCCTGCAGCCGGGCCGTAATTGCATTAAAAACAGCTCCCGTTGGCTTAAAGCGCCACTTTGCCGTAAATTGAGGCGAGGCCACATTCAATAATAAAGGGTCTTTAAAATTGGCAAAAACGAATCCTTTTCAAAGGTACTATGCAGCAAAATTGTGCAAAAACTACTGAAACAAAAACCTTGTATCCAATAATTTAATAAACAAGGGTGACTTCTATTTAAAAAGTCTCTATAAACCAAAATGAAAACATTAAACGCAATATAGTATTTTTATTTGTTTTGGGATACACCCACAGCTTGCATTAATTTCAAAGGAATTTTGGCCAAGTCCTGGGAGCCCTAGCAAGCTGACGATTATTTGCCAGCATTTTGGCAAAGCACACCTTCGGGTTAGAGGAACCCCACCGCCACTGCACCCACTCGCCTGGCCAATTATGTAAGTAGATCCTTATGTGTGCATAAGAGATAGACTTCGGGCAACAACACCAATCCCCGCCTCGACACCTGCCGTGGCCGGCAACTTCGGTGTCCTGTTTAAATTGCGGCGAAGATGGCCGAAGATGGAGGTACATACATAAGTGGCAAGCTCCGGAGTCTTGGGGCAACAACTTCCTCCACTTCCTACTCGACTTACTTGCAGGGAGAATGTGCACCAGGCAGGGCGTCGTCTGGCGGCCGACGGCGTTGCTGGCCCAGCAGGCCAGTGTTATTAACTCGGAGTCCGACTGCGGCAGGTACGTCACCGTGCTGGCCAGTCCATTCGACTGAATCCTCGAGTTGAGCACCTGAAAGGTAAGGGAGAAATGTCGAAAGCCAGAGGATTAGAGCAGCTCACATTCTGCAGACGTAGGCAGACCGAAGGAGTAGTGGAAGCGAGTCGAATCGAAAGCAAACCGAACCTGGGCATAAATATTTGAAGGCAAATAAGTTTTTATTGCAAAGCAAACGAATCGAGACCGGGGACAGGATAAGTCATTCGTTGGCTCTCTGGATTTTGGTGCAGATTTTCAAAGGAACTTTTGCGGTAAATGAATTACTTTATTTATTGTGCACATCTGTCCGGGAATCGTAGTCACATATGCATTTTTTTCTCGGTTGGTTTGGTCAGCTCTTTCTCCGTCCTCTAGCCAGTAACCTGTAACCTGCAACCCGTGTCCAGTGTCCCTTTTTATTCCATCTGCTAGCTCTGCAGTCTTTTGCCTTTCACCTAAACGGTTTGCATTTTAAATTCCTTGGAATGTATGTATGTTTTCCGGCAGTACCCGTGGCAGTCGAATTTATACATTTTGATTAAATTTTAATTCAGTCACGTACACTGCTCGATTCCCTGACTCGACCCATTGTTCGTTCCGTTCGTCTGCCTGGAATTGTCGAACGAAAATCCCAGACAACCCCCGAGTATTTAGCACAAGTTCTGCTAATAGCAACCCGACTTCAAGCCCTGGCTTGGCATTTCGAGTAATTGCGACGGTCAGGCGAAAGGAGTCCTGAGTTGCAGCACGTTTTCCGGCATAATTACAGGCACAATAAGTTCGGTTTGGATTTCGGATCAACGACGTTTACCTTCTTGGTCCTGCCCTGGTTTTTTGCACAGAAAATAATATTCTCATACTTGAGCAATAAAAGAGAAAGCCTCTGGCTGGATTCTTTATTTTTTTCCAAGTGTATTCGATAACAATTGAATGTCTGACTTACCGGCGACACGTTGCGGGTGTTGTTGTACGTCCAGCTGAACCGAACTGAGTCCGGTGGATCGGCATCCACCTCGCATTTGACCAGAATCGAGTGCAGGCTGACGGCTCCAATGGATGTTTGCTCGGTGCCCGACTTACAGCGTGGCGAGACTGCAAAGAGATGAGGTCGAAATGGGGCCGTGAATGGGAATGTGAGTGGGAGGTGAGCTTCATAAATATATATTCGAGTGTTCGAGTACGAAACCGAAATGGCGACTTGTTAGGCGGCAGCAGAAAGTTTCCATTTTAAATTTGCTCAGACCCCCAGAGAGCAAACAGCCCCCTCTGACCCCATGGGTCTCACCCGAAGTACACACAAAAATATGGTGGAGGCAGGACCCAGAGGAGGAGGGCCAGGATAAATCCAAAGGGAAGTCGAGCCAGCTACATAGCCTTGGGCATAGTAATTAACATGTTTCCGTTTCACGAACGAGGAGCCTGTGTTCGCTGGCTGTCTTTTTTCTTCCAGCTTTTTGTGTACATAAATTTTTTGTTTTTTGTTAAGCTGCTGTTGCTTAGCGGAGAAATCTGTGGGCCAGGTATCGGGAAAGAAAGGCGAGCCCGTCTGCGCTTACTTTCACTTGGCTGTGAAATGAGGGCGGATATGCGGAAGCAGTGTCTTGCCTCGAAGCCAAATCTGTCTGTCGGCGGGTGAGAGTGTGTATCCGTGTACTTTCGAGTGGCACTGTGGGCTGAGGGGGGCCGAGTGGGCCGGGCTTCGCTGAAAGCCGCCTTTAAAATGTAAGTCACGCCAAGTCAGATAAGCATTCGAAGCTTCATTACTACGTTCTTGGCTTTTATCACAAGTCAACTGCATTTCAGCGTCGAATACTTAAGCCATCTGTCTTTGTGAGTCTGTGAACTTGTTGCTTTTTCCGAGAAATTCATACATACATATATGTATGATTTTGTATGTACTTGAACGTGTGTGTTTGAGAACGCCAGCAAAGTTGCCCAAAGCCCAAACTCAATGCAAAGACTCTGGCTCTGGCTCTGGTAAACTTTCATAATTTCAAATATCAACTACTTAAACTGTCGCAAGGAAGGGGAAATGCATTTCAGATTGTCAAACTGGAACTGGGGCAAAGAAAAAAGTGTGTATTCCGACTGGAAAGGATATTTTTGTGCTTGCCTGTTAGTTGACAACACAATAAATGTTGAAAGAAGACGATGTCAACAAAGGCTACGCACCCGCTCCTTGCCCGGGAGATTGTGAGTCTTGAGAACAGCTTGTGGGTAAACGAACCCGGCCAAATACTGTACTTAAGGCTCACTTGCTTTGGAACTGTGGAAATCGAAAGGTCCTCGGAAGGCTTCATCGATTCTCGCTCAGCCCGACCCTCTGATTTATGCAACCAAATCGCTTGTGCGAGTAGTATATGAAATCCACATTAATCACGGAAAAAACCGGCCACAGGCAACTCCCAGGGGCTATGGTAAAATCGGACCGAGAGGTTTATGAAAAGTTTGCCGAGCAGAATAGGGAGCGTTGGATTTATAGGCGAAAGTTTTGTCTGTGCGTGTTTATAAATCAATGGCGGTTGTTTAGACCACTGGCACTACGGATTTTACAATTGTAAACACGCCGTGCACGGACAGATGGAGCCTCGGGCGGAGTTGGAGTTGGAGTCAGAAACGGTCGGTCATGCATCATTTCTAAGCAATTTCCCCCTTCCGTCCGCCCTCTGAAACTTTTCGGCAGCAACTTTTATTCGCAGCACCAGCAGAAGCGTACTCCTCATCGCTCTCTTTGTTGATTTTGATTTTATTCTGCAGCTTCCGCTTCCGGTTTCGCCATGTTATTTCATCACCCTGCGCAATATGTATTCCATATGCCAGGTCCTGTACTTACACTGCACTTTCAGAGTGAGGCTGGAGCTCCGCGTCTCGCCCTCCGAGTTGGAAGCTCCGCAGGCGTACGCCCCCGCACTCTCCCTCTCCAGCTGCGTCAAATGCATTATTTCCGAGGCCTCGCCTGACATACGCATGCCCTGAAAGGAGAAGAAAAAGGACATTATTGCAAGAGACACTTAGAAGAAGGGACATCAAATGAAAGAAATATTTATGAGGTAGGTATTTAAATATTTAATACTAAGTTATATCTTATATTCTTCTCTTGAAAACCACTAGATTTTTTAATATTTTTATACCCTTGCAGAGGGTATTATAATTTTGTCCAAAAGTGTGCAACGCAGTGAAGGAGACATCTCCGACCCTATAAAGTATATATATTCTTGATCAGGATCACCTCCTGAGTTGATATGAGCATGTCCGTCTGTCCGTCTGTCCGTCTGTCTGTCCGTCTGTCTGTCCGTCTGTCTGTCTGTCCGTTTCTACGCGAACTAGTCTCTCAGTTTTGAAGCTATCGTCTTAAAACTTTGCACACACCCTTCTTTCCTTTGCACGCAGTATATAAGTCGGAACGGCCGGGATCGGCCGACTATATCCTATAGCTGCCATATAACTGATTGATCGGAAATGGTATAACTTTGGTGTTTTTAAATTTAGAGACTTCAAATTTAACATGAGAGCTATTTTTGGCGACAAATTACGACATGCCAAATTTCATAAGGATCGGCCGACTATATCTTATAGCTGCCATATAACTGAACGATCGGAAATGACCTAACTTTCGTGTTTTTGAAGATAGAAAGCTGGAATTTGCTACAGATTATATTTTTGGTCAGTTAATCCGACCTACCAAATTTCATTAGGATCGGCCGACTATATCCTATAGCTGCCATATAACTGAACGATCGGAAATGGTATTTGGTAGAAATATCAACTTTCGTATTTTTGAAGATAGAAGCTTGGGACTTTTTTTTAGATTTTTTATTGTAATTAATTGGTTTTATTATGATGTAATCATAAGGATCGGCCAACTATATCCGATGTTTGCGATATATATCCAGTTTTAACTGCAAGGGTATATAAACTTCGGCTCCGCCCGAAGTTAGCTTTCCTTTCTTGTTAAACCTAATCTCCTGAAATACAATGAATCACATTTGCGGTAAGACTGGCCACAAAAGAATCGCCCAAATGGGCCAAGATGACGCAAATTGTGGCTATTCGGCTGCATTGTCATGCAACCACAGGTCCCCCAAAACCACCGACACTCGCAGCACTAAATGGCAACCACAACGGAGCCAATGCTTCCCCGCTGCTCCGGCTATCTCCACATACTATGTAGCATTTAGATGCCCGGTGCGGTAATCCATGTGGTTTGGCCTAATGTGCGATGGCATTAAATGAATTTATTAAATCAAATTAATATGGTATTTTGGGCCTCTGGATGGAGAACGGGATGCGAAATTCGACATTCGCATTTCTCATTGAATTAGCCATTTGAGTCGGAATTGATGTCGACAAGTGGCTCCGTGCATGCGTTTGCTCCATTAGCGCAGCTTGACTTTTGAATAATTCGATTATTGCGATTTGTGCACAAATCCCGACTGTCATTTGCACATGAATTTCATTTTAATTAATTCATAATAATAATCATAATGTGATTTAAATTGCTCAAGTTGAGCCGATCCCACCACCCGCCCCTTATTGGCAGCCAATTTGCAGTATGCGGCATACTGGGCAAAAGCACGCAATATATCCGCCACAAATTGGCCATGTTGCATCATTTGATTATTTGCAAAATTCATTAAAAAGCGATGAAGCGCTGATGGAGAGTGGTAATTGCATTAGCCCTTGCAAAATAATGCATTCAACAATGATGTGCTGTTCCACACGAAGGATACTTTAATTTGATTCCAATATGGGATTTCATTAATTTGTGAAGCTTCCATCCAGGCAGCAAATGGCAGACACAACTTTAAGGTTGACCCAGTGGAAAAGTTTGTGGGAGAAATGGGAAAATGCGAAAGAAAAGCGGAAAACACGCTGATAATAAAAATCTATATGGCACACTGACGTCGAACGACTCGCAGAAGTGACAAAGTTCGCTCTTTAGAACTTTTTGCGCACATTTGGCCAGTCGTTTTTCATAATTCTTGGCTCATTTTCTCCCTCCGCCTATTAATGCCAGAGCCAGAAAAAAAACTTGCCGAGCAAAATGGCAAAATCTAAAAATCAAAGTGCCCTAAATAAAGAGAAGTTTTTAAAACCCGGCCACCTCCCCCGTCTCCTGCCAAATGATTTTGGCAATTTGTTAACTGCCTGGCCGAAACGAATGGAAAAACCCCGGCTCTGGCATTAAAAGGGAGCTGAGGGAAGTATATGAGTCCTGGTTTATGGTTTTTGCTAGTTATGAAAAATGATGATGTGACCATGTGGACAAAACTGTCAAAGGATGTCAGAATCATGCGGTTTAATAACAAAAACCCAAGGCAAAGTCAAAGCCAGGCCAACAATAGCTGGCCAGGCCAGGCCAGAAATGGCTCCAAGGAAACAAAGAAGGAAGGAAGGAAAAATCAAAAGAATGCTAGGACGTCTGCGGCAATCTCTTTCGGTTTATTTGTCGCATGATTAATCGTTAAATAATTTGCAACACGAACGGACTTCAATGGACATCATGAGCCAATTATAAGACATTTGAAAAATGAGTCGACATCAGCTTCTCCCACTGACCAGACCAAACCATAGCTAGAATGTGGCTCTCCTTTGCCAGGAATGTGGCTGTTTATCCGTTTAAGGCCTGGGCCGACGAAGTCCTACCACAAAACAAAATTAAACCGCAAAAGTGTCTGCTTATGGGGCCGCAGGAATGTTGACGCCCTTAGGCTGTTGCGGCACCCCCCGACAATTGATAATAAAAATTTCGAAAAAGTGTCTGTCGAGCTGATACACGTCAGCTGTTGGTAGTTAGTTGGTAGCTCCCGGGCAAATGGATAAGGATAGCTGAAAAATTACAGAGATAGAGGAAAATCACAGGGTCACTTACATTCTTGAACCAGGCGTAGCTGGTAACCGGAGGTCTGGCATCTGCCCGGCACTTGAACGTGACATTCTGGCCCTCGGCCCGCGTTACCAACCGGCTGGGATCCTCGTTGGCCAAGTGCACCGACACGGTGGGTGGATCTGCAAAAAAGAAGAAAAGCAAACGTAAGAGCGAGTAAGTAAGGGCGGGCATCCGACTTAATGAGCGCGGCGAATGGCTGAATAAAAGTCAAAATAATAAACGGCAATGGCTCATAAGGTGAACTCAGAAGTCGGCAGGACGGGCCAAGTCGGGGCGAAATTGCGTAATGTACTTAGCCCCAGCTGCCGTACATCCTTTGGGCCTGGTCCTCGTCCTGTGGCTGCTCCTGTGCCTGTGCCTGAGCCTCTTGACCACACGCCAAATGGGACTATTAGTTACGGTTGTAAAAATCTAATACGCGTCGGAGACTGTCGGCGCCACTTGGCCCCAGCCAGTCTTTTGTCCAAAGGCCAAAGATATGCGGGGGTAGAAGGCAGGACTGTAGTGCCACCCCCTCTTTAGTCCCAGCCAAATGTCAATGGCGTGGGCTGGATGGGTGGACTGGGTAGGCAGGAAAAAAAGGCTGACGGTTATGGTAAATTATTAAAAAGCAGCACAAAATGAAAACCATGCGAATCAAGTTGACTGCTGGCCTGATTTGAGTGCAGGTAATTCAACTACATTTTGTTACACTTAAAGAAATAAGTTACAAAAACGTTAACGAAAATTACAAAAAGGTGATATAACTCAGAAGCTATCTTCATTTTAAACTTGGTAATTAATCATCCTTAGAAATTATAAAAAAAGAAAGATTTCAAAGATTAAATATTTTGAAAGACTTTATTTTTCCTCAAGTGCTGGCTCCCCATGTTCGCTGATTTTATCCTTAGAAACTTCAACGAAGAAAACGTAGCAGGAGTAATGTAAAACGGAAGCCGGAAGCGGATGTTGCAAATATTATGGAGGTCGAGAAAAAAAAATGAGCAATAGAAACATAACGGTGAAAATTTAATCAAGGCAAGTCGAAGAAAACGACTACGTCAACTTGACTGCATTTTATAAGCAGCTTAGCGAATGGTGGCCAACAGGTTGATGTGACCCGAGGTAACTTGGCTAAGACTCCGTCTCCGGAGCCGGATCCTTGCCTCAGTGCCTCCTTGCCCCCTTGACTCTTTGGCCTTAATAAAATTACGTTGGCTCTGGCCTTAATATGCTTCTAATTGGACTTTCCTGGTCGCAACACACATTCACCGGCGCATAGGCCAGGTCCTGTGTAAAGGATACACAAAGGCCCCCTCTGACCATGGCCCCGGATTCGGGCTCAGAGTCAGAATGAGACTTAGACCCAGACCTAGTTACCGGCCAGGCTCCTTCTTCGGCCCTCTGCATTGTTGCTATAATTGAAGGTGGCTAATAACAGGCTCCTGGCTTACCTTTCCGATAGAAAACAGGAGAAAAATGTGTGTGTACTTACATGCCACTCGAATGATGCGCTTGTCCTCGATGGCGCCACCGGAGAACCAAGGATTCGTGGCGCGACACGTCAGCTCGGCATTATCGTTCTCCGCAGTTACCTTCAATGTTAGGATGCTCGTGGTGATGTTTCCATCCTGTAAAGAAGAAATCGAATCAGTTATCTCAAGGGCTTTTATAATTGATATCATATGTTGGAAAAAATAACTAACAATATATCTGAGCCCCTAACTAACTATAAAGTTTACCCATATCTGTATTCAACAAAAATACCTATTGATGAGAGATTTTTCTTGACATTTTTTCCACCCTAACAACTTTGATATACCCGCCAGATTTTCGAGCAGCACCACGAAAGCTCAATGTGTGTGCTCCAGTTCTCAAGTTGCATTCCACAGCCCGGTCTTTCAAAATAATGAGTCGAATTTCGACCTAAGCCGAGGCTGTCCTTGTGCACCAGTGGCAGCCACACTGCAGCTTATGCCAAACGAGGTATTAGGTTGCGTTACATCAGGCAGTTCCACAGGACCACAGACCAGCACCAGCAGAGCTTCGTTTTGGCAACAATCGATGTCGGGATGGCTGAAAAAACTCCCATCCTTTTTCTGGTTTTTTGGTTGCCTCTTCTGAGAAGGATCGAAAATCGTTATGCACGAGTTGACTAATGCCTAACGACATTTGATGGACGTCCTATCCTCTTGCAAGGCATAATTAGACTGCGGAAAAGACAAACTAATGGATGCCTACGATAATAAGATGGGAACTGATAAATAGTTGCAGCTTGAGCTGCTTAGTGACCTCTGTTCTGGCCTCATAAATTCAAATAAAAATTCGCACATTAGCCGAAATCAATGGACGGGCATGGAGTGCGAATTTGTGCAGCTTGGCAAAACTTTTCGCCAGTGCAGTTCATCAAAGAAGTCCAGGGTGGCGTCCGACTAAGCCAACTTGTCGGCCATGTCCCGCCCCTGCCTGCTCGACGTTCTCTGTTTTGTGGATGCTGCAAAAGTTTGCCCTGCTTGGTGCTTTTTAGGGTCACCCAGTGGTCGGGTCGCCTTAGTTGGCTCGACTGCGGAGCTATTAAGCGGGACACACTGTTGTATATGTGGGAGCACAAGTGTCTGCTGCACTGCGGCCAGCTATCAAATGTCAAACGCTGCAAGCAAATTTTCCAGCACAAAGTTGCGTTGTCCTGGGAACTGGCGACAAAGGAAACAAAAATAAAAAGTTTCTCCTTTCCGCAGCCTCCGCAAAATAGTCAAACAATTTCGGGGCAATTTGGCAGTGGGCGATGTTGTTGATGTCATGTCCTTACTCACCTCCTTGTCACTATGCACGGTGACCTCGGCATTCCGGATGGGCTCCCCGTCCATCAGCCAGGTGATCTTGGCCGCAGGATATGAGCCCCAGGACTCGCAGCGAATGGGCACCGGATGGCCAGCAGTTAGCAAGTCATTAGGTGTGGCGATTTTAACACGAATAGGTTTTACTAGAAATATATGTACAAATTGTTAGTTGAAAAATAAATAAATTTAATAAATAATATGCTAATCTATTTAGTTTCGCGTAAACTTCATAAGAGTTGACTTACAGTGAACCTGCACCGTGACATCCTTGCGAACAGGATCCACCAGACGCGTGCCCTGCGCCCGACACTCGATGCGCGTCCCAAAGAAGTCGCGGGTGGTGGTTCCAATCAGCAGCTGATTAACCATCATGGTGGCTCCCTCCTCCACGGAGGTGTGACTGCTGCCGATTAGCTCGGTGTCGTCGCGCCACCAGGTGACCTTCGGCGGGGGGCGCCCTGCAGATAGGATTGAGATGGGGTGAGTAAGGATATAGTGAGTAATAGCTGACGCTGCCAGCTGCTGGCGTTTGGGTGCGATGCGGGTCTCTTAACTGGCAATCAGGACGTCGCAGCTGGGAAGATCCTTGCCAGTGGCAATTGACACTCCTGAGTGAGAGGGTAAATAATGCGACACGCTGCTGTTGCGCGACCGCTGACAAGGACCTTACTTAGCGGGACTGTTAAGTGGGTCATACACGGGTTGAAAATGAATGTTACAGGTAAAAAAATGTCTCTGACTCTTTTTATACCCTTGCAGAGGGTGTTATAATTTTGGTCAAAAGTGTGCAACGCGGTGAAGGAGACATCTAAGACCCTATAAGGTATATTAATTCTCGATCTGGATTACCTCCTGAGTTGATATAAGCCAGCGCTGTGGGCCATATAGGGGCAAGACCCATTTTCAAGGGCGTTTGGGATCCCATCACAAAATTGGACAAAAAATCTAAAAAATATTTTGTCTCAGGATTTTGATGCAGAATGGTGGAGAATCGACCTAGAAATCGTTTAAGGTACTCCGCTTGAGAATCGGATGAGAATTGCGGAAGATATAGCCATCCCTGTGGGCCATATAGGGGAAAGACCCATTTTCAAGGGATCCCATCACAAAAATAGACAAAAAATCTACAAAATATTTTGTCTCAGGATTTTGATGCAGAATGGTGGAGAATCGATCTAGAAATCGTTTAAGGTACTCCACTTGAGAATCAAATGAGAATTGGGGAAGATATAGCCATCCCTGTGGGCCATATAGGGGAAAGACCCATTTTCAAGGGATCCCATCACAAAAATTGACAAAAAATCTGAAAAGTATTTTGTCTCAGGATTTTGATGCAGAATGGTGGAGAATCGATCTAGAAATCGTTTAAGGTACTCCGCTTGAGAATCGGATGAGAATTGCGGAAGATATAGCCATCCCTGAAAGCCATATAGGGGAAAGACCCATTTTCAAGGGATCCCATCACAAAAATGGACAAAAAATCTAAAAAATATTTTGTCTCAGGATTTTGATGCAGAATGATGGAGAATCGACCTAGAAATCGTTTAAGGTACTCCGCTTGAGAATCGGATGAGAATTTCGGAAGATATAGCCATCCCTGTAAGCCAAAGACCCATTTTCAAGGGATCCCATCACAAAAATGGACAAAAAATCTAAAAAATATTTTGTCTCAGGATTTTGATGCAGAATGGTGGAGAATCGATCTAGAAATCGTTTAAGGTACTCCGCTTGAGAATCGGATGAGAATTGGGGAAGATATAGCCATCCCTGTAAGCCATATAGGGGCAAGACCCATTTTCAAGGGATCCCATCACAAAAATGGACAAAAAATCTAAAAAATATTTTGTCTCAGGATTTTGATGCAGAATGGTGCAGAATCGATCTAGAAATCGTTTAAGGTACTCCACTTGAGAATCGGATGAGAATTGGGGAAGGTATAGCTATCACTATATACATATATCACACTCACCTCCTTTAACTTGGCAGCAGAGAAAGAGCTCATAGCCCTCGCGAAAAGGACCTGCCATTTGCGCTATTTCCTTGCCTTGGGCGTCGAAAATGCGAGGTTCCTCGGGTGGCACTGAAAAGTATTTTCATTAGCATTTTTCGAGTATTACAATTTTTAAGAAAACTTACCGACTAAAGTCAAGTTGTGCCGGAAGTTACGAGTTGGGGAGTTGAAGAAGTCAATGCGACATCGGTAGACGCCGCCATCCTCCGGCTTGACATCGTTGATCTGGAGGCGAGAGTCCTTGGGATTATCGCCTATGCTGAAGAACAGGCGCTGGCCCAGATCGCTAGCTATGGCGGCGTGGGGTGCCAGCTTCACGTTTCCGCCTCGCGAGTCCAGGCTATCGAGAAAAATACGAGAGGAAGAAAGAGTACGCGTAAGTGTGGGGGCGTGGAAGCATGTAGCGATTATTAGATGTCATAAATAAACATATGCGGAGAACATAAGTTGGCCGTTGCCCTCCCAGCCCTGCCACTCTCCTCGCATAATTTACGTCCATAAAAAATGACTCCCAATTTGCACACCATGAGCCAGGAGCTAGGAGCCAGGAGCACGACTCAGGACCCATCGGGCAGGAGTTTAGTGCGGACTGCTTTCACTTTACTTTCCCATTGTTCGTTTGTCTGTACTGCGACTTTGGCAGCTTTGCGCAAATTGCAGTAATTTGTTGCTGTTTTAGTAAATTACTCTGTTTATATCAGGGCAACAGGACCCGCAACAGCAGCTCCTTCTGACTCTTGCTGCAATTCTCGCGTTTATGATTATCGAGTGGCGGCCACTTCACGTGCATACGCTGACACAGATCCGGGGGGTCCTGGGCCTCTCTAATGAACGCCCCTGTGCCACCGTGGCACGCAAAGTCGGAAACCGTTCGCCACTTAGCATGCAGGGCACACGCGGTGGCTGCCACAATTTATATTGAAAATTTATCAGCGCAAAATTTATTAAGAAAAAAAACCCATGTCTGTTAGTGAGTAAGGACGCAAAGGGTCCGTGGGTATATGCGTGAAAATTTGCTACACTTTAGCAACGACAGCCGTAATCGGATGTGCTTTACATTTATTATAACAAAGTGGATTATGACGGGCGCATCCTTGCCCCCAAAACACTCGCCTGGCCCGAAACACACATGCTGCCGGAAATAAGCCAAAAGCTCTTGCCGAGCCGAGAGAATGTATGCGAAACGCCGAAACGCACGTAGATTGCCAAGAAAAAAGGATGTTGACGATTATTCCACGCTCCTGATGGATGGATGGATGGACAGATGGACAGATGGATGGTTGAGTGGGTGGCAGGCTTACAGAATGGCTGATTTCGCACCACTGGCCTCGAGCATGACTGACTCGAGGAAACAACTAGTTTTCGCTCACCTGTACAGGGGAATGCCTGTCGTGTCCTTGAACCAAAGAAGCAGCTTCACGGAGTCTTGTGGCGTGGGAGGCGTCAAGTCGCAGGGCAGCTCCACGGTTTTGCCCAAAGCGGCCCAAACCAAGCGAGCGGGTACTGAAAAAAAAATAAGAGAAGCATTAGAGTAAAAGATTATAAAATTTAAAATGAAAATACTACAAATCCCAGTAATATTCAGTTTTGTACAACTCCATAAACCCCATAGACTTAAAGCATCAAAAATTGTAACATTAAAGGTGTGCATTTTTCATTGGCGTGTATTATATCTCATTTATTTTATTGACCGGGTATTTTTACCGTCGCTGGCAATTGAAGTTGATCCTGGAAAAAGCAATACCTTTCTGTGCGATATATTTATTTATTATTTGCACTTCCTGCATGATTCGGCTGATTGTTTGTTATTTTAACACAAAGCTTCCGCTTTCGATTCGCGGCAACGCCATCCCAAGAAGCAGGACCCTCACCTGCCAACCGACCACGCCCACTACCCACTACCCACTGCCCCCGACACCCGTTTCCGCCTTATCCCGCCGTGCCGTTGTCGAATGTTGTCATTGCCTTGGCTCTGCTTCCGTTTGCCGGTTTGTCGTCACCAACCTCGTTGTCGTTTGGTGTTGTAGAGCTTGATGTTTTTTTTTTTTTTTGGGTCGCTCCTTGGGCCACCTTTTCTTTTCTTTTATTATTATTATTTTTTTTTTGAACAAAAATGATTTCTTGTGAATTTGTGTTGGGCTCATGTTTTGTGTTATTTTATTTGACAGGGCAACCTGTAAAATTTCCACATTGTTTCCGCCTGAGCGGCTTCTTTTATTTCTGCTCCACCTTCACCGACAGCGACAGTCCGGCGTTGAACAAAATGTGGTTGTCGTTTTCGGAGACCTCGTTATCTGGTTCCTTAAAGTTCCTAAAATACATATTCCGTTTGGAGTACGCCCCCAGCTTGGCTCGCTTTCATGGAATATAAGCTGAAATTCTCTTTCACTTAGTTTGCTCGAATCGGCTTAGATATTTTCCGAAAAATTCACTTTTCCTGCTAAATATAAAGGCTTAGATATCGATGCTGCCATTTAGCCTAGTGAGCTGCAAAAATATGCATCTGGCGTCCTCTAAGCTGTGTTCTTTTGACCGCAAAAGCCATTGAGCCATTTGTTAAATTGCGTTGCATACTTTCCGGCGTGCACTCGCTGACAACTTGAGCAAAATGGCAAACATCCCTGCTCCCTGACCCCGGGCTTCAGCAATTTGTCAACGCTTTGGCTTGCGGCAGGCTGAGCAAATATGTGACCGGGTACGAGGAAGACACCTAGCCGTAAATCCTTATGAATGGTCCCGGATATGCCATCCAAATGGGAGTCTTACATATATGGACTGTGCATGTGCAGTCCTCAGAGCTAGGCGGAAGGCCTTGCTCCGACACCGACCTCTTCCTGACCAATTAAGCATCGCATAAAGAACTGCCATTAGGGGAACTTTGATGTTCTCCCCCGAGTCCAGATCTATTTATAATTACCTCTGGCATTTGCCCAGTTGTTAGCGGCAATCGTCTGCTCGTTCTTGATGATTTACGCTTACATTTAATTCCACTATTGGCAGCTACCCGGGGACGAATTCTTCGTCTTTGATGTGCGCCCCCAAAACCAAAATGCTACCTCGCTACCTCTCCATTTCTGTCTTTTTTTGATGTTTTGTTTTGACACATCGCATTATTTCTGGCTATTTTTAGCCAATTGTAATTTACTTGGCCGGAGACGCTGATGGATGAACGGGGGTGCTATTCAATTGGAATTTTTAGTGCACGAGGGAGTTTGTGAGTTGGTAGCTCATCATTTGTGCCTCGATGCATTTGACGGGCTCTCAGCATGGATCAATTAATTTTCATCGAATATGCTGCAGAGTGTTTATGGCTGTTTTATAATTCTAATTAAGACAATGCCCGACAGGAACTCTCAAATGAGTTTTCAAATTAAGAAACGGGAAACGGGAGGGAGTGCTTCCAGTTAATAAAGATGCTTCCAGAAATGATCTCCCTCCGGGTTAAGTGGATTTAAATTTTCCATGCGGGGCCCTTAAAGCTTTAAGTTTACTAAGAACATTACGCATACGCAGCGTGTTACTTTACATACATAAACAACGAACAGCAGCCGTCGGTGGCAGATTCTCGTGCCCCATTTGGCTCGAAGCCTACGGCATCCTACGAGGCCACAGGCCGCAGCCTCAAGACAACAGCGCACTGCATTAATTATGCAGTGCGGGACGGAAAAGGCTCAGATGCGGTTTTAAAGCCAGGGTACATGCAGTTGATAGTATATCCGATTTTTCTTTCTTTTTAAGCGAGAGCTGGCGGCCGGCCAAGAGTTTAATGAACTTTGGGAAAAATAATCCAACGGGCAGCGGAAAGTGTTGCAAAAACAATAATAGAAAATCAACAGAGCGATTCGCTAAATAAACTGAGGGCTGCTGTCCATTAAGTGTGCCGTGTCATTGTAAACAGCGGCAGCTACACCAATAAAAATGCTGTATTTCGTATTTAGTATTGAAAAAATAGCAACTGGCAACCAAAACTAAAAAAACGACCAAAATTTGTTGGCACTTTTTCAATATACACGAACCAAATGGTTCTATTCAATTGTTATTTAAAGCGAAAGTGTGGGAAATATTGGAAACGGGACCGGGGCACTGGGGTTGACACATTACACATTACACATACGCCCCGTATGCGCCGTGCGGTTGCATTCTGCGGTTGCGGCTTTGTCTTCTCGGTGGGTTGTTGGACACAGCGCAGCGAAAATGCGAAAGGTTTGATTGAAACGTTTGCCAAACGCACATAAAGTCAATTATGCAAAATATATATAAGTTAGTTAATTAACTGAAATTAGAGCGAGCTCTGCACAAAAGTTATCCAAGTCTGTGCTTTTAATATTCGTTTTAGCCCGTTTGCCATCGTGTGTGTGCTCAAGCTGCCTTCATATAGGATGATGCTGCTAATGAAAAGTTTATTCAGAACGGTGGCAAGTCGGAAGTAAACCAAATTACAGGCAATTGCCAAGATAAATATTTGAGTTTCAGCATTCAGAGCGGCAGCTGCGCTCCATACGCTGCCAAGTTCGACTCTTAAATAATTTATCCAGCCTCCGACCGGACTATGCTTTTCCATTTCCTTTCGCTTCGGCTTCGGCTTCGGCTTTGGCTTGCCCGCTTTTTACTGTTTTTTATGCCACTACTGCCTTGGGCCAAATTGTTTACATTTAAATTGTACATTATGGCAAACACACTCGTCACAAACACACAAGCTCACACACAGTCGCCACAAAATGTAGCAAGTTGAGAGCGAAAGTGGTTGCCATTGCGGACGGTGCCCTGCCCCACCCGGTCCCCCACTCCTCGCTGGGTCACGCCCCGCACCACGCCCCTTTGTAGTGTAGTCAAAGTCGTCAGTGACCCTAATGTACTTTCTCACACTTTTTAGCATGCATTACGGGCTGCCTAACATGGTTGCCTTGCCGCCATTCAGAGTCGGTGTGTGTGTGTGCGGACATGTGTGTGTAAATAACTTTTAAAGTGCTTCACTCACACACCCACAGAGGCAGTGTGTGTGTTGTGCCTGGTGGAAATGCGAGTATGAATATTTACTTATAATTAGAAATGCCAGAATGTTTTGTTTTCCTAAGTTCAGCCTTTGACTTTGCCCCAGCGAGCTCTGGCCACGCGTTTGTGTTGGTGTTTGCCTGTGCACTTCCTGTTCCTGTTGCCGCCATCTTTGGGGGCAAATAAACCTAAAAAAGAGACCTCGGAGCTGGCGCACATGACTCTTGTATTCTATTGTGCGCTCTTTGTTTGCATTACTTCGTTTTGGCCGGAGAGCGAACATATGAGTATACTTGTAGTGTAGAAATTAAGATGCTATCCCTATGGGAAGTAAAAATTTCTTGTTTTTCCAATTTTTCAATATTATGGGATTTGTTTTATTTTCCTAGTGTGTGACTGTCACAGAATGTGCGAAATTCTGGCGCCAGGGCAGCCAAGCAACAAATGTAAGCGATTCAATTAGGCGAAATATTTCTTGGCGGCGGATGCCCCAACGAGAGAAATGCTCCCCAACATTCCTTGGCAGGCTTATTAATAACAAGTGTGTGCTTATGTAGCTGCTGGTGACCGAAACTGGCGCCCCGCCCAGAGTGTGTCCAAATGGACTAGCCCCCATTTGGCATTCGGTGGCTGGGCGTTTTTTTCATCCTCACAAATCTGGCAAGTCGTTGTCGCCATCGTTGTGGGTCAGGCCGGCCTGGCAGTGAAAGTTTTCAAATTAAATTTTGCGACGCCATTTTCAATTAGAAAACTTCTCCGGCTAAAGTCTCTTGCAGAAGCGCGACCCGCCTGCCATTTTGCAGAGACCACCGCCTAACCAACCCACTCGACCCACTATCCATCCCCATGCTGCCGGTTGTGCCACATCATCGGTTCGAGTTGCCTTTGGATTTCTTTCGGACCTTTTTTTTTGCAGGACCTCTCGGTGGCGTTGCCTTGCTTTCAATTAAAATGCGTTCGCTGTCATTTTGGACGCCGTATTGCACTGGCTACGTGATTTAATAATAAAATACGAAAAATATTCCAGTCAGCGCTTTGTTGTCCTTGTTGTCGGCCATTACGTGGCTGTTTTTTTTTTTCCTCCTTCGCTGGCTTCCTTAACTTGGCCCGGGTTTTTTGTTCATGTTTTTGCCCCGGCAACTGTTGCTTGTTTCTCCGGGGACTCGGCGGGGCGACTTGAGTGTCGGACGGGGCATTTAAACAACACATTAAATTCCGAGAAAATGTGCCTGTGGGCTGCGTGTGCGGTCGCATGCAGCATCGATTCTCGGACTGGGTCGCTCTCTAAACTGAAATTCTATTACGCTTCATTGACCAAACTGCATTGGCCTTTATTATTAATGGGCAAATTAGTTGCGGCTTTGGTTAATGTTGTTGTAAGCTGATTTTCTTGATTTATGACCCTGGTTCTGTTCAGGTTCTGGTTATGGCATGTCCGTTTAAATATTTATTGGCTTAAACCGTTTTTAATGGCAATTGATTGAATGCCACTTGCAGCATATTAAAATTTC